TTTGATATATTTGGAATTATCTTTCAAGAACCAGAAATTAAATAATTCATTTCGAAAAGTATCAATAGCTAATATGAAAACTGCCCTGTTGTATTTATACTGATAGAGACTGCAATGAAGTCAACAAAATATTTACCATTCGAATTTCAATAAACACTTCTAGTTAAAAATGTGAATAACGAAATAATTGATTCATATTTTCTTTTATATTCTTCCATATAAATAATGTAGTGGCTATCCATATTGATATTGATATTCAGATCCATATCTATATTCAATATTGAAACTATAGTTACGATATACTCACCTCTCAATATAGCATATTCAGTTTTCATAACAACAAACATAGATATACAAGTTGCTAAGTAGTAAAAATGGAACTGTCTGGCACTGGATTAGTTCAAAAATTAATTTCCAAAGTGTCTAAGCAACTTCATTCTCCATCTACCTCATCAAATCTCACACCCAAAGAAATAAGTGCCGCCTCAAAGGTATCTAATTCTGCTTTTATACATCTTACCACAGACTATCAATATCACAATTCTATTATTAAAAAAAGTCTTCTCTTTTCTTCTAGTAATATTTTTGATAAAGATAGTAATAATCTGACTGATCAAGATTATTGGAATGACTATAATAATGATTTTACTATTGATACCGATATTATTAATCGTTTTGGTAACAGAAAATTCGGTGTGCCAAAAGATGCTTTGTATTTTGAGAACTTGGATTTTTCACTTTACTCCCCTGAATACAGCAAATTAATTCAAAATCTTACACTTTCTTTAAATGTTTTTGAATTGAATGAAGCAAAATCCAATCTATTATTTGATATTATAAAAAAAACTAAAGATTTGCAAAATATCAATTTTATTGTTTATAGCCCTAACGTACTTTTCCCATATAACTTGAGGGGACCGAATAATTTGAGACCATCTAAAAATAAATATGAAGTTTGGAATCAATTTACAAAATCATTGATTCTTGTTAACTCAAGTTCTTTGAAACTGGTTACTATTAATTTTAGGGATTTTTTAATTGACGTTTCTGATTATTTTTGGTTTTTAAATCAGTTAACTGAAGATAGATCAAGAAGCTACTTTACAAATGGGGCAAGGTTTTTTTTAAAATTTGAGTCCTTTGGTAAAAGTTCTCTATTTCTTAAACAAAAAAAGTCAAAGTATACTAGAATATTAATTAAAAAAGATAAACTCGGTGTTAAAAATAATAACAAACATAGAATTGACTCAAATTTTTTGAGCCAATTCTCAAAGGTTTCAAGGAGCATAAAACAAATAAATCAATTCACAATCAATGACGATATATTTTTCAAAGAATTAAATTCATTTATGAAGCTTTCATTTGATTATTCATTTCCCTTTTCATTTCCCCATCAAACAATTGAAATACAACCTTTTGCTTCTTTTCTTAAAATAAAATCAGTGGTATTTCAGAGTGGCAAGTTAACAAACCTTGAAAATTTAAATAAAACCCAGTTTACCGAATTGGACTTGCCTGGATGTCAGATTGTTGACATTGAAATAATACCAAGTTTCAAATATTTAACATATTTAAATTTATCCGATAATAAAATTGAAGAAATATCATTTTTATCAAAAATGATTGATTTGAGAACTTTAAACTTGGCTGATAATGAGATTAAAGACATATCATGTCTATCCAAATTAATTGATTTAAGAAGTTTAAATTTAAATCGAAATAAGATTGATGATGTTTCTTCGTTAGGAAAGCTAATCTATTTAACTGATTTAAAATTAGATAACAATCGTATTACAGATATTGATTTTGTAATTAATTTAAAAGAATTGAAAAACTTAACATTTTCCAGAAATAATGTTGAAAAAATCAATAATTTGTCAGGATTGAACAATTTGATTTTTTTAAAAGGAAGTTTCAATCGAATTAAAAACGTTAAAGACATATTGTTTTCTGTTGAAAATGCAAAAAATTTTAAAAAATTAAGAGAAATTAAAATTTCTATAAATATAATTGAAAACTTGCAAAACCTTTATATACCAGACAATGTTGAGTATTTTGATTTTTCATGGAATGAAATTAAAGAATTTTCAATTAAAAATGTGGAAAATCTTTTGAAGCTAAAATTTATTCGATTGAATTGTAATTCATTAAGAGAATTGAATAATTTTGAAATTCCAAATAACATTGAACGGATTTATTTAAATCACAATAATTTACAATATCTTGTTATTCCACATAATTGCAATGCCCTTGAATTACAATTACTTTATTTAGACTCTGGCGTGTTGGTAGATGAAGATTAGATTATGATTCCAGCAAGTTTTAGAATATTACGTTTTCTAAATTGAGGATTTTGATGATTGGAAAAGTGTTAAAATACATTGAAGATGTATAAATTTGGAAAAATAAAGTTGTAGTTGATATTTAAATGATAATCATCAAATTGAAAGAAGGAATTGAAGTTTTATTTTAAAGAAATAATATTTTTTTATCAGGTTTTTGGTTTACAATTTTGTTTTTTGAATTACTATTACATTAGTTCTTCATTTTTTTCTAATTTCTATATTTTTTATATTTTTAACATTTTTAATATTTTTTATAGCTTAAGTTTATTTAAATACTATGTAACAAATGCGTAACAACTTGCCAACTATAAAAAATAAACTATTTTTTTCGAAACCAAATCAAACAAATAATTAAGATTTGCAGTATTAACATATTTATCAACCTGGTTCCAACTAGTTAATGGTTTTATACACGTATATATAGACCACATGATCCCCATCTGCTATTCCTTTTTCAATGTATATTTTTTGAGATTTTTATTATTTTTGTTGTTATTTGGGAAATATATGCTCAAAACAAAGAACGGTCTCCACGGGATTCGAACCTGTGTTTGAAATCTCGGCCCATTTTGTTTTGGAAATGATAAAACATTCACAAAATAACAAAGAGATATCAGAAAAGAGATATCAAAGAAGAGATACAGTTGGAACGGTTTGATTTTTTTATTGATGTTGATACATCAGATATACTGTCAAATATAATTATGGTACAAGCAAAAACATAGTCAGATCGCTTAATAGTCAATAGGTTCCACAAAGGTTTCTGAGTTCTGCAATTTTCACTTAATTTAGTACTTTTTTTTTATATTCGAATTATTAGCAGCAATCACTAGGATATTTATAAAAATTTTTTTAGTATATAACTTAAACTTTTAAATTATTAGACAAGTTAATTTTAAAATCATCACTGAAGTACTTTTTTTATCATTATATAATTATAATTATTATTGTAATCATTTTATTCTGCTCAGATGGTTTTTTCATTTTGTTTCATTTTGGTTTTCAATTGATTAGTTTAAAATAATATTTCCTGTATTCAGTTGTCTTTTACTGTTCATGTTTTTTAATTATTTTAAAATAAATCATTTCAATTTGATTACTTTTTTCAAAATTAGTCGGTATTTTCCGGAGTATTTAAATCTGAACTTTATGCAGGGTTTGCTAGAAATTAATCCGAAATACCGAGAAAGACATTAAAACAGAAGGGTAACAAACTTTTTCTCATAAACATTTTTTTCTTTTTAATATTTCAATGAAAAATCACAAAAATATAAGTACATATTTTCATATATAAAACCAAATATAAAAATGAAAATAAAAATAAAGTCAACTATGCTTCTTTATAATTATATATATTCATTAGCTTTGAGAATATTGAGTATCTTTTTAGTTTTTTCTTGCTTTTTTATTTGTTTGAATACTATGATTGAAATTTTTTATAATCCAATTTCAAATAATACCAATTCCAACCAAATTTCAAAAGTCTGGATATATCTCAATCTATGAGAGAGTAGACGTGATTAAATATTTAACTTTCAAAGATTTCACCTTTCCAATCTCATTGCTTTGAGTATTTTACTGCCTTGAGTATTTCACTCACAGTAACAACAACAAAAAATGAACATTAGTCTTAATTATGTATATTCAGTTAAATATTTTAATCATTTATTAACTAAAAATATTTCTTTAGAGAAACTGCATAATAATTTAATAACCCAATAACTTAATATTAATAAAACTTTAGGCTTTTATTTTGTTCGGAAAACGGAAAAAGAACTTAACTACACTAGCCGCAAATTACTTATTTTGCGAGCTGATGTTTTAAGAAAGTGAAGCATGATTATAAAAGTTAAAATTGTGTATTGGAGCAATGGAAAAAATCCAAATAAAAAATCGTTTTAAAAAAAAAATTTATAGGACAAAATGATTAATCATAATATATCAAAAGAATTAAAGATTAAAATAAAAACAATGGTTAATAAAATATTGCAAAATTATAAATATTTTATTTTTGTTTTTTTATGAATGCATGGGTTATTTTTTTTTCATTATTATTATCTGCAATTAAATAATAATTTTTTGCTTTTCTAATTTAAATCAAAAGCATACTTGGATTTGGTTCTAATTTTCTTACCGTATTTGTAAAATAAAAATGGCACAGGTGCTAAAAGTAATCCGAAGAGACCTAATAGTAATCCAGACCAATTCACACCTAGATCAGAAAACATATAGCCCGAAAACAATGGGAAAGCACAACCAAAACCAGATCTTAGAAAGGTGTTAGCTGCTAAAGCTGATGCTGCAAATATTAAATAGGAATCAATGATATAATTAATTGCAGGCATGAAAATTGTAACAGTAGCAAAACCAGTGAGGACACCTGATATTGTTGGAACAATCCAGTGAATACTATCTGGATAATTACCAGTCCAACAAAACCATAAAATTCCAATGGGAAAGGTAATACCACCAAACATCATAGGTTTTAATCTAGCTTCAGGGACAGGCTTACCGTCATTAGCTTTTAAAATTTGAAGATAATTCTTTTCTGCAAACAAACAAAAAAATGAACCCAGAATCTGGCCTAAGCATAAACCAATCATTGGTAAATAGGCATTTCCGCCTTTCATTTCATATTTAAACGTGAACACATAGGGATATGCAGTCAAGAACATGTAAATAACACCATAGATAAAAGCGGTATAAATCGAAAGTAATAGGATAATTGGCTCAGTAAATAACAAGACTAATGGTCTGGTAATATTTTTCTCGCAAATTTCTTTGAATGATAATCTTAAATCTTCATGAGCTGCTCTGATACCCCAATTACCAGTTCTTCTTCTCAATTTTTCGGCTTTTTCAATCAAAATAATTGGATGATGAGTTTCTTTCATAAAGAATATTAGAGTAACCAAATTAAAAGCAGCAAGGATACCAATGATATATTGGGTCCACCTCCAGCCTAAATAACTTTCAGCAATGTAAGCACCGAAAATTGGAGCAAAGGAAGGACCAATACAAACAGCCATTGAAAAAAAGACAATTGCTGTTCCTCTTGTTTCATTGTTGAACATATCAGAAAACGCAGCAGCCACCACTACTAATGGAGCTGATCCAATGCACCCAGCAAAAAACCTACAAATTAAGGCGGTTTGCAAATTCTCAGCAGTAGCACAGCCAAATATAAATGAAACAAAAGCAATTCCAGAAAGTATAAGAGGAATTTTTCTTCCATATAATTCAGAAATCGGGGCCCATACAACTGGACCAGTAGCAAAACCTAAGACATATAAAGAGGTACCGAGAGTAATAACAACGCTAGCAACATTGAATTCAGCCATCAACTGATAAGTTCCTGATGCAAAAATAGCCGAACCCATTGCAACACAAATAGCATCGAATCCTAAAACAGAGCATATAATCATTTTTTTCGATAAAGGCCAATTGTGAGGATGATCAGGATCATCGGGCCCATCAAATGTGACTGTGTAATTATCTTTGTCAGGTAAAGGAGAAGGATATGGTCGTCCTCCACCCATCTTTGGCAAAGGAGAAGTGTCCTTTTTAGTAGAAATGGACGTTAAAACTCTAGAAAGTTTTTTTGTAATATCAGTATTAGACTCAGCCTGAGAACGATTATCAGCAAGACTTTTTGTTCTTTCCAAATCATTGTTTTCATCTAAGTCTGCAGCAACAAATGGGTCAGGAGCAGTTTCTTTCTCTTCTTCACTGTAACTAGCACCAGATGAAGATCTGTCTGGTAAAGAAGGGCGAAGAGAATTGGAAGAATTCTGAGCTATTTCTTCCGACTTGAATGCCATGATAAAAAGATGTTTTCACAATCTGTTGTAAAAATAATAACCAATTGACTGTTCACAAAATCAAGGAAGTGGGCAACTATTTTTGAATCAAAAGAATGATATAATATAGTATAATACAGTTTAATACGATATAAATGATTTAGTCTCAAAAAATTGAGTATAAACCAAAATTCAACTGAAAAATGAAGTGTTAATTGGGACGATTTTGAAAACTATATATACTCAACCTTGAAAGTGCAGAAACCACCAAACCCATTGTTTAGCAGAACCAGTGTGATTAAATTATATGAATATCAGAGCAATTTTCTCACTGAAAACTCTTTATCTATGAAATTTTGCCAAATTCAAACCGGTAGTGACAAGTAGCTTTTCACAACTGTAATGGTGTTGTTGTAACTGAATATCTGAAAAAAGTTCAGAATGAAACAGAAGCAGCTCCAGAACTCTCTGGGAAATCCGAATCTAAACCTGAAAAAGCGTGACAATTTCCATCAACATATATCTTCAGCTCTACAGAACAGCTTAGGCATTCTCTTATAGGGCTCCTAAACAAATATACCAAGACTAAACAAGCTTTTCCGGTGATTGTTCGGCATGATTGCATGGACCCACAGACTTGCAGAATGGCGCTGCTGCGGAAGCTTTCCTAATCGGGCGCCGGAGCAGCGCTGGACCAGTGTTTAGGTTGTGGAAAGCTCTTGTGCTGCCGGAGCCAGCGAAAACAGCGAAAACAGAGAACACAGAAACCAGTGCCTCTTCTGCCGAAAGAACTCTGTTGCACAGCTCGGAACAGTCAGGAGACCCTGGAGGAAAACGGGCTTTGTTGGGCTGCTGGGGCTGTTGGAACAGATTCCCAATTGCAGCTCATGAGACACATTTGGAATCGTATATCTCGGCTCCTTTTGAGTTCAATGTTGTTTTCAATGTTCAACGTCCCCTTGGTAGATTCCTAATTGGTACAACTTCATGACGTCCTCATCAAATTCATCAAGATCATTGTAATTGTTGTAATCACTGTCATAATCCTCGTCAGTATTAAGATCAGCATCTGCATGTTTCTTATTATCGTCACTTGTGCCATCTTTTGGTTTTAGATTTCCATTTTCCATTCCATTTTTATTTGTTTTGCCCCCATAATTCAAGTTGTCAATTTTCTTCCATAAATACAAGTTTTTATTCTTGAATGTGCTGTATTTTCCTGTGTCAGTTTTGACGCTTTTCTTGTCTTCTATGCTTTCGTCGATAGTCCCTTTTTCACTTCGGAAATTGTCTTTATCTCGATTATTATTGCTTTCGTCGTCTGGTTTGAGTATCTTAAAGTATTCATCATGAATCATAGGTCTGCCGTAATGTCCAGATGAAAAATTGTACTCGTCATTAAATTCAATATCATACGCTTCATCATAAGTCGTTCCATCGTAGTTAAAATCGCATTCATATTCTTCGTACCTCGCTTCCCTTCCATTATCAGTACGACCGTCTCTTTCGTAATAATTGGTTGTGTTAACACTCTCATTATCAAAAATGTTTCTTCGGTGAACAATTAACAAATCTAAATCTTCTTCATTATTAAAACATCCATAGCTATCCTCATACTTGAATGTAGTTTCCGGATAAAAGTTATACGAATCATAGTCCGCATACTCATCATCTGTTGAATCAAATCGCAAACATCCGTTTTCATTATGATTTATAATACTGTTATCAAGTGAATCATCTGAATATTTTTCTGTATCTCCATAATCATGTCCGTTCCAATCATAATTACGATTATAAGCAAAGCTGTAATTATTATAACTATGGTATTTCTGCTTTTCTTCATGCTTATTTAACAAAAATTTAGATAGATTCTTATTAAAGCAAACAATGTCATTGTAATAAATTAGCCGTTTTAATGAGATTTTGGGCATAACTTTATATTTCTCATATAAAAAATCCCGAAATTTTCGGTCTTTTTCTTCATCTTCTTTAAGTTTTTTTTGCTTATCAATCAACGCTTTTTTAATTTGTTCTTCATTTTCTACTTGGTTATCAGGTTTCTCCTTTGACTTGCTTCTACGAAAGTTTCTAGTAAAGCCCTTTTTATTGCTTTTTTTCTTATTTCGAGTCAGCAGAAACACTCCTGTGCTCCCATCTTCATTGTCCTCATCATTGTCATCAACTTCTTTTCCCGATTCCTTCTCTATTTCTAAACTTTTTTGATTGAATAGTTTAGATTCCGCATCAAATATTTCATGCACCTGTTTTTGATATTTTTTCAACCGCCTGTTAAGATTAATTAACCACTCTTTTGTTATCACAGAATTGTTTTCAAAAATATCAATGTAGTTTTCATCATAATTGAAATAATGATATTTATAGTGGTGGTAATTTGAATTCGATTTATCTGTATTATTAGAATAAATCAAATAACTATAGTTGGTATCCAAATTAAAATATATATTTTGTTCAAGCTCATATTCATCCAAACTTTCTTCATTCTTTTGTTGGTTCATTATGACATCAGAAACATCATTTTCTAGATATAATGATTCTTCATCATTTCTATCTACATTATTGAACAATATTAGGCACAACTCTTTGTTAACTTTTACCAAACTATCTAGCTGAGCTTGTGTCAATGCAATCTCATTTTTTTCATTCAAAATCTCTTCGGTAATAACATCCTTCACCTCTTTGTCTTCTAAATCTCCCAGTAATCCTATGAGTAACTTTGATTTCTGATTAAATAAATTTTTTTCACACTGTTTATTGTGTTTATTTTCATAAAATTCCTTGAATTTCTGATTGATTGTTCCTGGCTTTCTAGATTCAAACGGATTTTTATAATAAATCTTATAAATATCCTCAGCTTTAACTTTCGACTTGAAATTACTATCTATTGACTGAAACTCATTTGGTAAGACGTCACACCTGCTGGATTCATTAGTTGTGCGATTTATAATATTTGATGTATTCAAGTTATTCTCATAGTTTCCTTTCAAAAATTCTTGGTGGTTTTTCTCAACATTTAGTGGTAACGAACTTCTCATGTTAAACTCAAATAACGATTTGAAGCTTGTGAGTTCTTTTGGAACATAATACTCATTCCAATAGCTATCTAAGCTGACATTAGGGTATGAAATCAATTTCTCAATATAGTAATTCTCCTGTATGTATTTAGTCACTAGATCGATTTGGGAATCAATTTCTGTAATTTCACTTTTCAATCTCAGAATTGTGTCATTCAAAAACATAATTATTTTGCTATGAACTTCGCTTCTAAAACTGCTATTGCTTGTTTTTATAGTTAGGTTGGAAAATAATGAAGCCGTATCATCAAAATCATACACTTTAGTGTGTTTTGGAGTTTTAAGTGACAATGAGTTTGCCGTTTTCAAAACTTCGCCAGTGGTAGAGATAGTTAAATTACTTAAGATTTCAATAATTCTCTGGTTTATTTTATCCATATCTGCCAATTCTTCATCACTAAAATAACTTATTGGTGGATATTTTAAATTCTCCCAATAAAGAATATTCTTAAAGTTCCACCAGTAATTATACGAGATCTTGTTTGTTATCACAGAATTAGAATTATTGATATTTATTTTCTTATCCCTTATATTAAGAAAATCAAGATAGTAGTTGTTGTGCAAAAAGTAGTCATTGGTTAAATCCCAAAGATAAATTTTCCTACCTAGTTTTTCAAATGTATAATTTCCTAAAAACAAATTAATTGTGTCCTGTCTTGTAGAATCAATAAATGAATTAGAATAAAATCTTTTAACACCTTCAATTAAATCGTTTTTCTTTGAAGACCATTGATTGATTTTTCTATAAGTTTCCATTGTATTCACCAAATTTGACCCACCGTATTGTAGAGCAATGACATTTCCATGATCATGATAAATGCTCGTTAACAAATTCACAGCATCAGAATCATATTCCAAGTACACATTTTCAATAATACCTAAGGATTTCAATTGATAACCCAAAGCCTTTTTAGCAATTACAAATTGAGCAGCGTTTGTCCTATCCAAACAATCAACACAATTTGTTCTACAAATTCCAACTTGGATGTTATCATGTTCTTTTTTATCTAGCTTGTAGCCATTTTGAAAAAATCCAGTTTGCTTCAAAACTTTATCTGAATATTTTTCTAAAAACTCTAGCACATTCTGCCCATGATCATCAACTTTTGATGCCTTTGACATATCCCAAGCAACATAATCAATTTTATATTCATCTGATAAATCTTTGTTTAAGAAATCAATGCAAGACTCAAACTCATCGCCCAATTTTGATTCTCTAGGCATTTTCTCTTTTTGCTTTATAAGATTTAATATTAGTACTTTGGGACCATATCTTTTAAATAGATCGTCAAAATGCAAAGCTGAAGATGTATAATATGGATCAACAAATTTCATTGTAATTGGGGGTTTTGCAATTTTATTTAGATTTGTCTTAGTGGAGATAATGTCCTGTGACCAGTACAATGGAATACTGCCTCGATGTTGGACAAATGATGTATAGTTTGGGTTCATATAAAATCCCTTGGAGTTATCATTGAATGAGGTGGTTAACATATTTGAAACAATTTGTTCTGTTTCAATTTCATTGGCAACATGGCCTTTATCATTCACACCTCTTTTGAGAAATCTTGCACCCGCAAAGTGATGAGATCTTCGAGCAATTATTGTGACATAGTGTCTTTTATTTAAAATTGAGATATTTGACTGATTGAAAAACCCATAAATAATAGGTTGAAACCAATCAAAAGTGCGATTATATATTTTTATAATTGGTTTTAGAAGCGAAGCATTCCATACAAACATTTCGTTATATTGACCCATAAAATCATCTTCATTATCATTATCATTGGTATTGTTGGTTTGAGATTTATTTGTATTGTTGGGATTATTTTTAGTATTGTTGAGATTATTTTTATTGTCGTTTTCGGTATTTCCTGTTTGATTTATATCATTAGAAACGTGATTTTGATTGCTATTAAGATTCGAAGTAGAACTAGATAAAATCAAATTTTTATTGATATTTGATGCCGAAACGATATGCTTAAATTTAAGTCGATCAATGAAATTTTCTAGTTCTTGATCGTTTATATTATTGTTGATATTATTATTTATATTTTTGTCATTGTTGTATTCAAAATCATAGTTGTAGTAATTAAAATCATCAAATTCATAATTGTATTGATAGTTAAAGGTATCATTAAAATTATAATTAAAATTATAGTTGAAGGCCTTTAATTTTTCGTTTATAAAATTGTGCTGTAAAGTATTAGTCAAGTCATACGTATAACTGAAATAAAAATTTGAATTTAAATTGAAATTTTTGAAAATTTGTAAAAATTTTATTTCGTCTTCAAATGTTTTTTTATCCTCATTGTTATCAAATTTTGATTTTAAAAACAAATTTTTTTCCGAGGAAACCAAGGGAATTAATTCAGTATTGTCGATTTTATAAATAAAATGACCTCCTAAAACACCAATTTTTGATCTTTCAGTGATTACGTGGAGATAGTAATTTTTGGTAAACTTGATAAACCCAAGTAAACCATAACCAGATAATTTTTTAATTAAAAACCCCTTTTTTTTGGGAGCATTAGGACCTAAATTATCCGCTGATTTGGAATTAGAAGCTGAGTTTCTTCTATTTTGAGTTGAATTTGAATTTGTTGAATGGTTATCATCAATAAAATCGGAAGTGAAATCCGGATAATTGTGTACATTCATATTAGAATCAGCATTTGAATGATTACTTTTAATTGGATTTATATTATTGAAATCGTTTTTATTATTCGAGTCCGTAAATAAACCATCATTGTCTTTATTCTCTTTATTATTATTCTCTTTATTATTCTCTTTATTGTTATTATTATTATTGCTATCGTTTTTATTACTATTGTTTTGATTGTTATCCTTATTAGCATCCTTATTGGTGTTATTGTTATTATTATTGTTATAAATATTAAAAGTGTCATCATTAAAATTCATAAAATAATTTGAGTTATTATCATTTTCTTCCAATGAGGATAAAATTTGAATCATTTGTTTTCGAGTAAAAAAATAGTTACTCTCCATTATATTGAGTTCATCAATTGGGCCAGTTAAATCGATTTCTAAGATTCTAAACATTGTTTCTCTATTATTACTTCCAATAATGAAAAACTTGTCATTTGTTTCGTAAATTGTGAATTTTTGTAGTAATATTTTTCTTGACTTGAAATTTATTGGAAACGCCACATTTTGCTGTTTGAAATTAAATTGGTTTTGATTCATGTTTTGATTCATGTTTTGATTCTGGTTTTGGTTCTGATTTGAGTTTGGGTTCTGGTTGGAGTATATAGTCTGGTATTCATTTTGGTACTGATTCAAGTCGCTAATTGAAGTCAAGGTGTTATTGAAAAAGCCATACTGGTTTGAGAACTGATTTTGGTTATGTTGAAAGCTCAAATTGTAATTTGAAGACCTTAAATCTGAATTTATCGACATCAAGAGAAGCAACTAATAGAATAAAATAAACTATAAGAAACTGTCTACTTCGCAAGCAGCATTAATGAAGTTGAGTTCGAATCAAGAAGTACGATGAGAGCTAGCAATTGGTAATAGTTTATCAGTGGTGATTCCAGTTATATTGTCGTTTCGTTTGATGTTGTATTTGATGTTGTGTTTGATGTTGGTTTGAGGACAAAAGGTTGACGGCCGGTTCCACTAGGACGGGTCAAATGCTTTATATCGTAATAATATGCAACATGACGCCAGACCTGCGTTTACAGAAGATGATCAAATTGCTTTATAAGTGCTACAAGAGATAGAAAGAACGAAAAAACAGAGGGTGATTAGAGAAATAATCTAAAACAAAAACAACAGAGGCCAGAAAACAGCAAAAAAAGGGAGTACCACCAGAAACAAGAAATTGAGTGTATTTAAATCAAAAAACAGCGAAGGGCAAGATTGAACAACAAAAAAAAAAGAATATAGTGTCAATGTTCTAAACAGAGTGTCTACCAGTCATGGTGCAACTCATCAACTAAGTTTTATTTAATTTGTAAAGGTGATATATAGAGCGTGAAGAATACCTGGGAACCAAACAAAACAACAAAGAAGAACATTGATCAACAAGTCCCTGCCGCAATCTCTTTGCAAATAAACAGATAATGGGGGCAACAATATTGCTATAGAAAACTGGTTAGTATAATGGATTGGTTTGAGCAAGAGAGACCCGGCAGATTCGCATTACCAGCTGTGCTGTACATACCCAAGACAATAGAAATAACTTTGGATGAATCCATGGTGAAGATAGCTTTATTTCAATAAGAGCTTTTGTTTATGATGAGCACGAAATAGATCCAGCTGAAGAGAAAAGAAGTGCAGGAAGAAAAATAAGACTCAACCTCCCAAGCTTAAATAGGAGATGGATATGCAAACGCTTTTCTCTCTCACCGATGCGAAAATTCCGAAGGAGCTGGTCGGAACCACAAAGGGAAACCTTTCAGCGGTTTCTGTTGTTCGTTTTCCGTTGGCTGCAACGGAATAGGCCACGGCAAAACTGTTTCCGTCGACTCAAATCCTGCAGCTGTGCGCGTGATAATGCTTTACACTCAACCGGTCTGAATATCTTCTTTCAACTGGATACACCTGACCCAAAAGTGTCTTCCGAGGGCTGTTTTTCAACAATTTGACTTTTGGTATTCTGAGTATTTGGCTGCTAACTGATGATTGAATTCATGTTTGATAGAGAAGACCACACATTAACCTCGTATTGCTCACAAATCTCTGATTATATTATACTAAACAACTCTTCAAACGACCAGCACACTAAGTAAATATCTGTTTATAATACTTTAAAATGGGATTGACTGGATATGCCTCACTCTTGGGTCTACTCACTATTGGTGGATATATGTTATTTACTGGTTCTGGTGAACAGTTTAATTTTGGAAAGTTTTTAGAATCAGTTTCACCATATATGTGGGCCAACTTGGGTATAACAGCATGTATAGGGTTCTCTGTGATCGGTGCAGCTTGGGGTATATTTATAACAGGATCAACCATAATTGGTGCTGGTGTAAAATGCCCCAGAATTACAACAAAAAATTTAATATCCATTATCTTTTGTGAGGTTGTTGCCATATACGGTTTAATCATGGCAATTGTTTACACTTCTAAATTAACAAGCGTTAGTGAATCGGAAATTTACACAAAGGAAAATTTGTATACTGGATTTGCCTTATTTTGGGGAGGAATCACAGTTGGGTTAAGTAATCTTTTATGCGGTATCTGTGTTGGAATCACTGGTTCAAATGCTGCAATTGCAGATGCTTCCGACAGTGCATTATTCGTCAAAATTTTAGTTATTGAAATTTTCGGCAGTGTTCTTGGATTGTTTGGTTTAATTGTTGGTTTATTAATGGGTGGTAAAGCTCAAGAGTTTTCCTAGTTTAATTTTATTATATCAAAAAAAAAAAATAAAAATAAAAATAATATAATAATAAAACATAATAATAATAATGAAAATAAAAATTACTTTTAAATTCGAACCAAGGTAAGATTTATTTATTCTCAGATTTCCCTATTATAACTAATATTTCATTACCAATTGATCAATCTATTAATTCGTAAACATATTATTCTGCCAGCTCATTAATTTATCGTTTAAATAATTCTTTATTCTCTAATTTTAGGGTTATGAACATAGTTATACTCTATTACAATGTTACTTTTATATCGGTTTTCTTACAAAATTATAATATCACAGTAGTCTACTCACTTTTAATAAAAACTGTAACTTATTTTTATTTTCATTTTCATTATCCCTCTTCAATTGTTCTCATCCGAAATAGATGAACAATAAACGAGCATGCATAATTCATTTCAAATATGCAACGAAAATTGGTAATGGTAGAAGTTGATTTCTGTAGTAATCGAGCCTCCAGAAAAAGATCTGGTGCTGTTCTTTATCGTAAAAAGAATAACTTTTCCAAGCCAGGTTCTAAATAATGATAAAACAAACAAGAGTATATTTGCTGAGTATTAAGCAGTTCATTTATTCTCGTTCTTCACCTTATTAGCCTTCTCATCAACAATATAATAAGAAAGAGAACTATTACAATGGATCCATAATGCATACACACTTAACACCATGTAAGTACCATCATTGTGTTTATAGTCACCAACACGGGTTCTATTCAACTGAACGTACTTAGATGTGGCTAAACGCGCTACAACAAAGGCCCGTAGCTGTGGACATTCAATTTGCGCTTAAGTCAAGATCTTTAAGACCCAGTTTTGACAGTGTTTAAAGAAATCAATTATTCTCTTTTAACATCAGCACAAATCGTGTGATTACCCTGTGTTTCTTTGTAGGATAAAGTGCACCTACAATTTATGGGGTTATGTGGTTCAAGACTAAGGAAAATTATTCTCCTACAAACCCATATTTTATCCAGAATGGTTCAATACTCTAATGGCAATGTTGGCTAAAATATTTGAATCCGACTTGAATTCTTATTATCACAAACTTATCGCTTTATATATATATACCACTTAATATCTTGGGTGTATTTTGTTTTTCCGCAAATAAGTTATTATATTTACTGTATTTCAATAGGTTATGAGAAGCTTTTTTTCTCCTATAAAATATTTCTTATTTCTATTCATACTCGTAGCATTAGTCTATCATTTGTTTTACAATCAAGGTTCAAATAAGGAATTAGAAATAATGGCTCGATCAAATCATGTAATTGTTGTTGGGACTGGTTTAGCTGGTTTAACTGCCACTTATGAATTGCTACAAAAAAAGGTTTCTGTTACATTACTAGAGAAAACAAATCAGTTTGGTGGTAATTCAATAAAGGCTTCATCAGGTATCAATGGCGTTAAAACCTATCAACAAACCACCTTACACAATATCAACGATGATTCAATCGATTCTTTTATCAACGATTCAATCAAATCTGCCAAATCATTAGCAAATAAAGACTTGATCAATATATTGGCATCAAATTCTAAAAATGCAGTTGACTGGCTATCTAAAGATTTGAAGATTGAATTAAATTATGTTGCTCAATTGGGTGGCCATTCACATCCAAGAACTCATAGAGGCTCAAATCTACCTCCTGGATTTGCAATAATCTCTGCTTTAAAGAAATATCTTGAAAATTTTGATTCAATAAACTCAAACCATAATTTAAACATATTAAAAAATTCAAAAGTGATTGAGCTAATTAAGGAGTCCAATTCGAATTTAAACACAAACACAAATACAAATAAAATCATTGGCTTGAAATACCTAGATTTAAATTCTAATAAAATCAACTCGATTTACGGACCAGTGATTTTGGCTACTGGTGGATTTTCGGCAGATTTCGACTCAGAAGATTCCTTATTGAAACAATATAGAAAGGATCTATTATCTTTGCCCTCAACCAACAGTGCTCAAACAACAGGCGATGGACAAAAATTAGCTTTGAAAGTTGGTGCAAAATTAATCCATATGGATCAGGTTCAAATTCATCCCACAGGTTTTATTGACATCCAAGATCCTTTAAATAAATGGAAAATTCTTGCCGCTGAGGCCTTGAGGGGTGTAGGCGGATTGCTATTTAATACTCAAGGCGATAGATTTGGCAATGAGCTATTAACAAGAGATAAAGTCACAGAATCAATTTTCAAAAACTTTGAACAAATAGGAATCAACCAAGAAACTGATAAAAAAGTTTTAATAATTTTAAATGAATCATCGTATAATAAAATGAAAATGAATTTTGATTTTTACATCAAAAGAGGTTTGCTATTTAAATCGTCTATAAGAGAATTAAATAAACAATTAGGATTTTCAAAAGAAAATAATAAGATTTTGAAGAATTTAATTCAAGTTAATAAATATATAAATGGGATTGAAGAGGATGAATTTGGTAGAACAGTTTTCAGTGATGAACCATTTGATTTATCTCAAGAATTGGATTCTAGTATTTATTATGGATATTTAACGCCAGTTGTTCATTTTACAATGGGGGGTATCAAAATCGATTCAAATGCAAGGGTCTTGACAGAAGATTCAAACAATCATGAAGTTGTGTTGAAGGGATTATATGCCATTGGAGAAGTTAGTGGTGGAGTTCATGGAGCCAATAGATTGGGTGGATCATCACTTTTAGAATGTGTTGTGTTTGGAAAAGTGGCAGCTCGAAGTGTTAGCGAATATATAAAATAAATCTAATGTACATTTATTAATAAGAGAATATACAATATACAAAGTAAATCACGGATTATTTTTTTCTTCTGAAACTTGTTTTGGTTTTTTTACTGTTATTCTTTTTATCATTTGAATTTGATTTTCTCTTTTTGTCCAAGGAGGCCTTTTTTTGAGCATCAGTTTTAGGAATGACTTTGAAAAAGGTATCTAATCTGCCTTGAACGCCAGTTTTTAAAGATTTTTTCAATTTTTCAGCACCATTTTTGATACGATCTTCAGCAAAACCATTTTCTTTACACATGTAGTCAACCAAGCCAGATAGATCAGGTTCTTCCCATTTTAGATTAATTTCATCTGAATTTATAACTTCTGGATTTAAAAATAGTTCTCTTGCTTGTTTATAAATCCAATTATCAGGTATTATGTATTTTTTGGATAGTTTTTCATCCTTTTTAATAAATTCTATGATATTGTCCAAGTTTTGATGTTTTTTGATTAATTTGAAAGCAGTTACCGGACCAATACCTCGTATTGTTTCACAATAATCACAGCCTAGTAGTATACATAAATCGATAAAGCTTTCTCTTGTCAAGCCTAGATCGGATATAGCAACACCAGCGTTAACTTCGTCAATAGGGATCTTTCTTGCTTCGCTGTATGTCAAATGTCTTAATAGATAAGTCGGTTGGTAACATAGAGTATCCATATCTTCACTGGCAGCAGCATATACTTTTCCGTCTCTAGCTAAAGTAGCACATTGGGCTTCAGCTTCACATGGGGCATTTATGAAGGGAATTCCCATTAACTTGAGTAATTTTTTGGCTTCTTCATTTTGCTCTCTTGTAGCTCTAACGGTTCTCTTTTCAAATTTTTTGATTTCTTCCATGGTACCTGTGTCTTTTATTTGTTCGCCCATTTTGATTGCCTCATCTCTTCTGGTCTTTCTCTTCTCTAGTTCGCCAGCTTTCAAGTCTGGTGGTTTCCCATCAAACACATAAACAGGCTTGATACCATTTTCAACCATTCGAATTGTTCTGTAAAAGAAGCCAGATAAATGAGAAGTGGTGTTTCCATCCTGGTTCATCAACTGCTGACCATCAGCCTGTCTGACAGCTATAAGATATTGGTAGAGACACATGGACGCGTCGATTGCCACTTTTCGACCAAAGAAGTTCTTGATCTCAGACGACCTGATGGCCTCTGGAGCATTGTCAGAAATAAGTCGATTGAGGCCTTTAATTCCCATTTCTTTCTGTCAACTGTCGATGAGTGCTCTTCAGTGATTTCTTTTCGCGTCGCTCCAAAATACACCTCTTCAAGGTCCAGTGTTGTGGATGAACAAATCCAAAATCCAAAACCTGAATAGCAAAAAACGACACCAGCAGGACTCGAACCTGCGCGGAAAATCCCAAAAGATGCCTTGAAGTGAATTCAAGTCTTTCGCCTTAACCGCTCGGCCATAGTGCCTGGGAAATATCCTTTGGAAATATCTTATTTATCACATCCATTTGTACTGTGTGTTTCGACAAAACTGTCTTGCGAGAACGGGCAGTGTATCTTCTGTGATTGGCCAGCGCTGCCATAGCCTCTTGCTTATCTCATTGCTGTGATGTGGAAGCGATGGAAGTGGTTGAACAACTACAGCTCGGACTGCATGGAGCTGCCGGCACCCGCGTTTCACCCTTCCTGTGCTTCCGGTGCTGTTTCTTCTGGCTGTGCTTCCTCAACAGCGGGCGCCCCCGGAACTGACTCAGCCGTTCCCAATGCTCGAATAACCGTCCTTCAGCTGTCTTTTCTCATGTCAGTCTCAGTAGCTGCTTTTTAAGTTGCTCTTTCTGTGTATTGTTTTGTATCCCAGATCATATTATCTTATTTATGTTGAAGCAAAGCTAACAAACTTAATCAGAATTGCTGATCCCAGCTTTTTTTTCAAACAGACTCCAGTTTTTCTGTTATTTTTTTTTTGTTTTTCGTTCTTCATTTTTTTTGCTTTATGGTTTTTTTTTTGTCTTCTCAAATCTATTTTAATCTTTGTTGTGTTATACAAAATAAACATAAGATTCGAATTATCAATTACTTCCATTATTTTCAGCAGCTAGAACTCAACAATTTTGATTTAGAATTGATTCAGCATTGATTCAACTTTGATCCAATGATTCAATTTTATTTGCACTTTTATTTGAAATATTTTTATAGTTTAGACATTGGATTTTCCTTTTTTTTTCTTTCTTATTATTTCATCCTCCTCTTTAAAAATGTTATTCTAGACTTGTAGTGAATTTAAAAACTTAAACTCCCATAATTATTGAATAATCTCATTTTTTAAGTCATGTAGTTTGCCCTTTATTTTTATTTGACTATCAATTCATACATATATAAACCCTTTGATTTAATCTAATCTAATTTACTTTACATTTGATTTATACCAATTCAATTCATTTCACATATATAGCACCATTTTCTTTTAATTATTTTAATCTTTATAATAACTATAATTTGTCATTCTTCTTATTGTTCACACTATCAATTTATAATTAATTTATAATTAATAATGCACTTTAGAAAATCTTCCAGTTCCTCAGAAAAATCTTACAGAAAAAGTATCACAATAACTAAAAATGATGAAAAAAAATTAAAAATTAGAACTTTAAATGACTTGAATGATCCAATTTTATCTGCTGTCCATGAAGATCAACCTTTCGAACAAGCTATTGATAATTTCAAAAACATTGATACGTTAAAACTCTCTCTAGATAGACTAGCCGCTGAGGGAAATTTAAAGGATGTCTTTGGCAACATTATCACCAAACCTGATATATCAAACCCCACAAGATCAAGAAACGAAAGACCTTTGGATACAATAAAAGGCTTTGAATACTCCATTTATGGTGATCCTTATATCAAAGAAAACTTGGAGACTCCACTCTATGGCTGGAACGTGAGGCCAACTTTCAATTACCCAAATTTCCAAAATCAAAACCCTTATTCAACTACTCCCAAAACAAAACCCTATAGTAATGAAAATAATGATAATTATGATAACGATTATAATTATGAAAATAATGATATTAATAACACTTCTTATAACCAATCTCAACGCCAATCTAATCCAATCAACTTGAACAGTACCAATGATAAAAATGACAAAATGGAAAAGGATCAACCTGTCTATAAACCACCAATAGCTAAATCAAATGGCTCAAAACTAAATCATAATCTCAAGAAAAAGAAGAAAAGATTCAGCTTTTTTAGAAGATCGAGTAAATTAAACAAATAATCAATAATTTTTAGTCATTATCAACCACCATCACCCATTATTCACGAATCAATGACTAATCACTATTTCTATCCGTAATTGTTCTATTACCTTTACAGAAACATTCATATACTTGGACACTGCTCACATTCGTTTTCAATTTCAATTTCAATTTCAATTTCAATTTCATTTTATTTTCTTTTATATTATTCTCTTATGTTATTTCCTTTTATATTATCACTATTCCCATTTTTTCGTTTTTTTATTATAATACCACCAATTGAAGTATTAACCATCAGTTTTACTTTTTTTCTTTTCTTTTGCTTCTTTATTATCATGAATTCTTTTCTTTATATCTAGATTACCAACTATAATAGTACGTTTCGATAACAATGTACTTCTTTCTCACTGTATATGATTTTTCACGAAATGAACAGCTCTGCAATATCCAGCTTCAGTGCTTTGATCCTATTGGCCAGCCGTTCTAACATCGAGAAGAGCTCGCTTTCAAACAATTTTCTCTCTCAAAACAAAGGAATCCAAAATACAATTCGCAGTAAATGAACTCGAAGGTATAAGATATACAACGTTTCAACCACTACAGAAAAAGCGTCTTCTCAAATAAATCGAAACCACAAAGCAAAATTTCTTTCTCGTTGAATGTCCTCAATTCTCTGGTTTTGGTGGAATAACAAAAAAGTAATCACAAATGGACTCACTGTTGTTTTTGCTTCTCAATGGCTTTGTCTTTGCTGATTTTGCTGCTCATTTTGGCTGATTTGTGTTTCAATCAAACAAAAATATATGCTACCAATTGATCCTGGATAAAATTTGCATTTACATTATATATATATATATATATATATATATATTAAAGCTGTTTCTTCTGAATTATAAAGAGATTAAATCGTTAAGTCAAATCAATATAAATATTACTATTGCTATCACTTTTACCACTACCACCAATATCAATATCGTCATCGTTATTATTATTATCTCTGTAATTATAATACTTATAAGTTATTGCCAATATGAAATTCTATCTAGCTAAGATTATTATGCCTATTTTATGTTTAACTAATTTTGTCTTTTGTTTGGAAATTCAACAAAAGCTACATGAAATCAACAAAATCCCCTACTCATCATCCCAAGGTTTTAAATATAATCCTACCAATGCAAATGCAAATGATAGATTGAACATAGATGAAGGTTCAAGAGGTCAATTGGATTTCAATCGGTTATCAACTTATGATAACGATAACTCTAAAGATGCTGACAGTCCATCGAAATCCTCTTCTTCCCCTTCTTTCTCTTCTTCAACTCCCAAGCCAGTTGAAAACTCGAAAATCATTTTAGAAAATCCAATCCAAGGGAAAATTAAAAACTCAAATAACTATGCAAATCCCACATATGGCGGTTCTCAAAATGATATCAAAATTCCTGAAGAATATGAAAAGGAAAACTCAAAAGAAATTTGTCTTAAAGAGGTTCATTATATCAAACACCAAGGTGATCTTAATAATTTATCAACACAATGTCAGATTATTGAAGGTTCAATCATAATTAACGATTTCGAAGATCCGATCTTAGATTTTGGAGTAATTAATACTATTTCAGGTGATTTAAAAATATCAAATGTAAGCAATTTGGTTAGGGTTATTGCTCCACATTTAAATACAATTAAAAGATCATTTCTATTATATGAATTAACTTCATTGACATCAGTTTCATTTCCCAATTTAAAATCGGTTGATACCATCAACTGGAAAATTCTACCCATATTAAGTACCATAAGCTTTGACTCGGGTATCGATTACATTAGAAATATTATTATATCAGATACATCTCTAGTTGGTTTTAACTTGAAAGATAATGTTAAAGAGTTAAATATTTTAAATATCAATAATAACAGGTTCTTAGAAAGCATTACAACCAATGTGAAATATATTACAGAAGAATTGGCTATAAGTGCTAATGCAAGAAACGTTATGGCATATTTTCCACGATTACAATGGGCTAACAATATTACAATCAGAGATACAATGTCCATCGATATTTCAAACATTGAATCAGTTAATGCTTCAGTTGGGTTTATTGAAAATAATTTTCAAAGTTTAAAGGTTCCTAAATTAAAGAATGTTGGAGGAACATTAAGTATCATTGAAAATTTTAACTTAAATGATGCTGAGTTCCCTTCAGTTGTCGATATTGGTGGTGGATTGATGATTGTGAACAACACTGGGATTTCAAAGATTAATTTTTTCCCAAAATTAAGCACAATTGGCGGTGCAATTCAATTTTTTGGTAACTTTAAAGATGCATCATTGAACAAATTAAAATTGGTCAAAGGTAGCGCAATCATCAAAAGTAACTCAAACCAATTTGATTGCACAAAATGGGTGGGAGTCGAAGAAAACACATCGGTCATTAGAGGTGGTAGAATTGACTGCACTGCTGGTAGTAAAAACGAGGTTTTAGATTATGATTACCAAAACATCAAAGGGACATTGAAGAAAACAGAAAACTACTTGGATGGTGAAAAAAGCAATCAGAAAACAGCCACAGACTCGATTAAGGAAAACAAGAACGATGGAGGTTCTGGTTTGCTACACAATGGTGTTATTTCCATGGCAGTTCTCAGTACAGTGAACTTCCTTTTCATCTTCTTATGATGGTCCACCAAGAATAGTCGATACAAGCCAATATGCCAATGATTTAGTTCATCAAGTTGATTTCTTTTTAGTTGGGGGCATTTAATACCATTTACCCTTTTACCAATACATAGAATTTCGCAATATCTGCCTGTGTTATCTCCGGAAATATTTTCTTTTTCTACGAGAAACTCTATGTAAATGAGAAGCAAATTTCGTTTTTTTCTGTTTAAAATAACGAAAATAGCTGTTGTTTCTCACTAAAGCAGGGATTTTTCATATCATAGTGTATACAATGACACGTGTATCCGAAATCCTCCCTTAGTTTACGGGGGTAGACATTGCCTTTTTGGCAAAATTCAGCAGTATAAAATCTTTCATTATCTGTTTCTTTAAGCCCTCATAAAAAAACTAGCTTGCTTTTCAAATCATACAATCATTATCACTAGATCTATCGTTAGATTTATCAATAAAATTTCTTTCTTTCAGTTATAGACATCAATTTCTGATACCAGCTTCAAGAGAAACATTTACCATCTGCCCTACTACCAATTTCTCACATCTATTTAAAATGAGTATGACCCAGACTCAGGAAAAGAAACCAGGTAATCTTCTTACAAGCAATGATATTTTCTTATTCATTCCCAATCTAATTGGCTATTCAAGAGTCTTTTCTGCTATATTATCTTTGTTTTTAATGAAAAACCATCCTATATACTGCACAATTGTTTACTCCATTTCCTGTTTATTAGATGCTGGCGATGGGTTTGCCGCAAGGAAATACAATCAAACCTCAAGATTTGGCGCTGTCCTCGATATGGTTACTGACAGATGTACAACTTCTGCCTTGATTTGTTATCTATGTAACGCATTGCCTCAGTTTATGATATTCTTTCAATTGTTAACTTCATTAGATTTGGCTTCTCATTACATGCATATGTATGCTACGGTAATTAGTGGTGGTTCTTCTCACAAGAATATTACAAAGGAAAGTAGTTGGTTATTAAATTTGTACTATACAAATAAAAAAGTTCTTTTCACTGCCTGTTTATTTAACGAATTGTTTTATTTGGCCTTATACCTAAGAGAATTTGATCATTTACCAACTATTTTTAACGTCAAATGTGCCACTATATTAGTTTTCATAACTTTACCTTTATTCATATTTAAGCAATTTACAAACATAGTTCAATTGAAAAGAGCTGCTGTTTTATTGGCTGACATTGATTGTGATGAGAGAAACAGTATTAAATCCTCATAAGTGTACTATCAACTAACTAACTAGTCAACTTAACTAATTTACTACCAACTATCAATTATAATTTAATGAGTACTAAATTGAAATTTCAATTTTTCCTCTTCTGTCATTAACACATTCAATAACATTAACAACATTATTATGTTTTTTTTAATTTTTTTTCTCGCACACTGTATAATTTTTCTTGCTCAGTTTCTCTATAATAATACCATCTAATTTTAATTGTCAATTCATCTAATAATTTTCTCATAACATTTCCAGCACCGGATCTTCTAAACCATCCGACCCAGTCGTATGGTAGCTCCGATATCTGCAACATGCACATGTGAATGCACAGGATAACACATCCAAGCATGTAATCCCATATGCCTGGTTTTTCAATGCACCGCTATTTCATTCCTAATATAGTAAATCCGGCCTCTTATCACCTGCTTTACTTTCCTATTCCGGTTACCATCCTAAAGGCTTCCAAATTTTGCCCACTTTTTGTTCTTTATCTTTTTGATTCACTTAGAAGACAGTTGAATTTTTGCGATATAAGCTGGATATAGTTTGGATATATTTTTTATTTCTCTATTTTTTTTATCTCTTTCTTTGGTTTTGAAAGTTTTTTGCAACAAAAATCAAAAGAATAACAAGAGAAAGATAATGTCTGATCAAACTCCACAAATCAGAGAAGCTTTTGTTAGAAATGCTGTCGAGTTTCTTAAAAATCCCCAAATTGCTGCTGCTTCATTAAATAAGAAAATAGAATTTTTGCAATCTAAAGAGTTGACAGATGATGAAATAGAAGAAGCATTAAGAAGAATTAAAGATCAAAATGATCCAAATCTTTCAACTACTGAAAGTATTCAAAATGACCAAAATGTTCAAAATATTTCGTCGAATGAATCCACAAGATCAACTGCAACATCAGTACCCACTCAACCAAATCCACCAAATAACAGTAACTCTTCCAACAATATTGCTCCTAGCCAGACTCAGACTGCGTATCAAAATCAGAATGCCAATAATCCCAACTATATTTCCAATCAAAACCCTAATTTGAATCGAAATTTAAATCGAAATTTAAACCAGAATGATAATGCTTTTAACAGCAGCTATTATCAAAACTTACCACCACCACTACCCGAAAGAGACTGGAAAGATTATTTTATAATGGGAACAACAACTATTGGTTTATGCTACGGATTATATAAAGTGTTTAATAAAGTACTAATCCCGTCAATATTACCGCAAAGGAAAAGTGATATTGAGGTTGACAAGGAATTGATTTCTGAAGAATTTAATAGAATTGAAAATTTATTGAAAAAAATTGAAACCGATTCAAACTTGTTGAAAAAAAACGATGAATTAAAATCAAATGAAATCGATAAAACTTTACTAGATATTCAATCTTTAACCATTAATTCAAAGGAAAAGTCAAATAAAATTGACGATGATTTAAAATTAATCAAATTAGAAATTGATGATATTAAAAATAATTTGAAAAATTCTTTTGATAAAAATAAACTCTTGATTAATTCAGAATTATCTGATATTCATAAAGAATTATCCTCATTGAAAAAACTAATAATTTCAAGAAATGTTAATAACAATAATAATAACAATAATAATACCAATAATCAAAATAGCAATATTTATAACAATGGATATAATAATAACAACTCAAATGGAAATAGTAATAGCAACCTGATAGCCTCTTATTCAAATGGGGGATTAAATAGAACCCTTTCTTCAATTCCATCTGTATCTCAAGTTTTGAGCAAAAATAAAATCAAACCTATTTTAAATGGCTCAAGTGACAGTATAAGTTCTAATCTTACTTCTGCTACTATCCCAAATATCAATACCGGCAATAGTAATAATATTAGCAATAATAATAGTAACAATAATGAAATATCATCTACAGTTGCAACTACTAATAAAAATCCAGAAAAATCGAATATCCCTGAATGGCAGAAAATAAAAAATTAGCATAAATATATATAACTGAATTATTTCACTAATTAATTAATTATTTTTTCATTTTATTCAATAAAAATTTTAAAAAATAGAAAGTTTCAATCTAGGAATTAATTACCTATTTATCCATTTAATTATAGGATATCATAATATCATGAAATTTGAACTCATTTATATTATATAAAATATCAACTGGATTATTATAGTTACTACTATATTCAATGTTATACTCATCATCAAAACTATTATTGTTATCATCAACTTTATAATTCTTGCAATATCTATTAAAATCCCTTTTATTATTTAGTAAGATTAAATTGTTATTAATATTTGAATCCAGTTGATTTAAAACCAACAAAGTCTTTTGATAACTTGAATTTGAATCTAAATTTGTTGTTATATTCAAACTAACCAACAAATATTTTAAACCGTTTAAATAAAACGTCAAACCTCTAAACGGATCAATCTTATAATAATTATTATTTGACAGTTGATTTAAACTTGGAATTTTAAATTTATATGAGGGGTTGATTAAATATTTTTTTTGATTAATATTAAATCTCCATTTCAAATTATTAATATTTGAGATGTCAAGTGAGTGATTTGTATTAATTTGTAAAAAAAAATTATTTTCTCCTTTATTAAAATTTCTGATTATATGTTTATTTTTCTTATTAAAGAAGCAATCCGAGTATCTTATTGAGTAATTTCTTTCCAAGAATGTAATGGATATGGGAGTGTAATAATATATTATATTGTTATTTCTATTACCGCCATGATTTTTATTAAAATTAAGAGAACGTTTTGTAATTCTTTCATGTTCAGGAATTATATATGTAAATGAGTTTTCTGTGATTTCATTAGCAAAAAAATTGTCCTGATCGGATAAACCCAGGCAAAAGCCAATGCTTAAGTTGACCACCAAGCATATAAGCAATATCAAACAGTAATTTGTTTTCATTATTAGCAAATTTACTTGAAAGTAATGACAAGTAGTGAGAATGGCTATTTGGTTCCTCTTCAACCTTCCTACAACTCTCCAGCCCATTTTTGACATGCAAACTCATGAAAGAGCCCAGTAAAACAGAAACCACAAAACAAAAACTTCAAATCAATCACAGTTGTATTTCGTGAAATCTGATGTTTTTAATGCCTTTTTGCTTTTGTTTTTGATGTTTCTGGTGCTTTTGGTGCTTTTGCTTCCAGTACCCAAAACGGAAACACCCAGAAAACCGGTCTTGAACATCACATGATTTTTCAATTTTTTTATTTTTATTTTTATTTTTTTTTCGCTGAATTTTTCCTGTGGATCATTTCCAAGAGAACTGGAAGAAGAGCAGAATAGTGAACAATGGCAACAGCAATGGTCAACAAGGGTATAAAGCGTTCTTATAATGGCAATGCGGTGGATTCCAAAAAAAAGCAGACTTTGAAAGGCTCCAAATACACAAAGCTACAAGGAAATAATGCTCGAAGTAAGAAAGTGGTCTCAGTTTCTCAAGTAAAGAAAAGCGTTTTGAAAGAGAGCAAAAAGAAAATTCAATCAGAAAGTGAAAGTGAAAGCAAAAGTGAGGATGAGAATGAAAGTGATGATCAAAGTATGAAAAGTGATAGCGAAGATGAATTAGATACTCTTGATGTTGATAATGGAAAATTTGCGGGTAAAAAAATCAATGACGACAAAGAAATCGAAGAAGAAGAAGAAGAAGAAGAAGAAGAAGAAGAAGAAGAAGAAGAAGAAGAAGAAGATGATGATGATGATGATGATGATAATGGTGATGATGAAAGCGAAGAGGAAGAACCAGAGAAAAAAAAACCTAAGAAAGATGATAGTGAAAACTCCAGTTCCAGCAATGCTGCTGCAAGATTAGAACAAAAAAAATTATTGAACGAAAGAAAACTTAAACGTAAGTCTGGTGTTGAAATTCAAAAAATTAAGATAATTTGGGAAAAACTAAGAAGCACATCATTGAATAAAGAACTTAAAAAAAAATATTCTGAAGAAATATGGAATTTGTCAAAAGATTGTCTTGAAGATTTAATTTTAAAGCATGATGCATCCAGAATAATCCAAACATTGATCAAGTATTCTTCAAAGGACCAAATTTTAGAAATTGTTAATGAGTTATCGAATTCCAACAAGAAAAATAAGGATAGTCATAATTTTTTTTACAAGTTGTCCACAAATACTTATGGGAAATATTTGTTGATCAAATTATTGCATTATGGTTCAAGAGATTCTAATCAAATTATAATTGATAATTTGTATGGAAGTTTTAAAAAATTAATCAAGCATAAAGAAGGTGCATATGTATTGGAGGATATTTATGTTTTGTATTCAAATTCATTGCAAAAGAGACAAATATTAAGGGAGTTTTATGGGAATCAATTTTCTATATTAGCATTTAATAAGAAAGAAGATTTAAAGACAATTGAAACAATTGAAGAAATTTGTTTTGAAAACGAAGATAAAAGAATATTGATATCTAAAAATTTATTTAAAATAATTAGTTCTGCTATCGATAAGGGTTCTACTGGATTTCAAATTGTACATGGGATTATATTAGAGTATCTTAAGATTGCAAATCAAAAAGAGATTGAGGAATTATTAGAGATTGTTAATGATCAAATAGCCGAGTTGATTCATACTAGAGAAGGATGTGAGTCGTGTAAAATCTTGATTTCACATAGTAATAATAAAAATAAAAAGAAAATTATTAAGAATCTTAAATCACACTTTAAGAAATTGATAACAAATGAATATGGATATTTAATTGGGATTTTAATATTTTGTACGGTTGATGATACAAATTTAATTTGTAAAAATTTAGTCAATAAAGACAATATTGATAAAGATGTTTTGCTTGATAAGAATGGCAGAAAATCATTATTGTATTTAATTTGCAATGGATTCAATTCAAGATATTTTCCACCATCGTTTAAAAAGGAATTGGATAAGTATATTAAAATATCTAAGGAAGAGTTGAAAAACAGTAAAAAACCCCAGGAATCGATTCGGAAAGAGATTTTCAAAAAAATTGAATTGAGATTATATGAGATAATTTACAATGATTTTGAACTAATCTTCAATGAAAATATTGGTATCCAATTGATATCCGAGTTAATCTTATCGCCAATAAAGAGTGATGGTAAGGATGTCAAAGAGGCAAAAGATCAGTTGATTGATTCAATTTTACTAAAATTTTCGGATAACTTGGACTTTGTTAAGGAAAATAAATTTTCGGTGCGTTTTTTAAAACTATTGATTAGTGGTGGACACTTTAATTTCAAAGAGAAGAAAATCGAGAAAATCAAGGAGTTTGATAATATTGAATTTTGCAGAAAATTCATAGAAAAAGTTATTTTTAGCAACGACAAAAGTTTGGTCAATTGGATCAAGTCTGACGGCAGTTTTGTAGTGTTATCGCTCTATGAAAATTTGGTTGGAAACAAGCTGGCTCGAAGCAATGAGTTGATGGAAGATTTCTTGCAGAGTGTTGAGGGATTGAAGAAAGAGATCAAGAAGATCAGCGAGTCAGATAGTAAAAATAAAGGAGCACAATCGCTATATAAATTGTTGAAATAGAATAGTATGAAAGATAATTGAAACAAACAATGCATATTCCGAACACTTTGATCACGAACAGCTGTTTGTACCTGTACCGTGAACGGCGGACGTAAGACGCACACGAACAACAAAGTTTCGGCGCACGGCTATCTCCGTACCAAGCCGCAGGTCCAGATAAAAGTCTGTGCTAAAAGGACAAGCATATACCTGCAGCTTTACCCTGACTTGACTACTACATTTCTGAGACACAACGCTGGGTCCTGCGCTGCTTCCCAAATACGAGGCTCTCCAGCTGTTGGTGGTGCACGCGACCCGAATCAGCTGCGTGTGCTGCCAAAAAAAGACTGGAGCAAAGGTCTGACGCCTCCTCCAACCAACGGCGCAGATCTTCAAAATAATGCCAGCTCCTTCTTCGAAAAAAAAACCAACATAGCTGTTAAAGTGAGTTGTGGAAGAGCAGTCATTTTTTCTCTAGATCCCTTTTCTCGAATATATAAGTTCATTGGCTTGTCGTCTATTTGGCCAACTCAGATCAATGTTTATTCTCTTTGATCTGTTGTTCTTATATTTTCATCTCATCTATTTCCTTGCGGTTTCTCTTTCGTCCACTTCTCAGCTATTTATAATGCCCATTTCTCCAAAGAAGGGTTCATCACCACCCTCTCTGCCTTTTGAAAATGAATATGACTCCAGATCCTCTTCAAGCTCTAAATTAAATGTTGCTGCTCCGAATCCTGATCCAAAACCAATCGACAGTAACTATCTCTTTGCTGCTCCCGATCCACAATCCTCTGTGTTAAATGTTGGATGGGGCCTAGGAGACTCCTCTGATCCCAGTGTTCGCAGCTTTGACTCCAGTGAAGATCTGGACAGTTCTACTGCAACTGTTTTAGAAGTTGCACAATTTACCAAAAAACAGAATTCTTCAAATTTGTCTTCGCAACAGGCTTTATATCAGCTTCCCAATATAAGTTCAAATGGTATCAAACCTCCTATCTTTATGGAAAATTCTAAACTGCAAAACTCTTCTAGTTCAACTAAACTAAAACCCTTTACTACTGACGATAACAACTACAATGAGCCTCAAAAGGATCTATTTAGTTCTAAAAATTCATTTGTTACCCTTGATAAATCATCTTCTAAAGCTGATATTAAAACTCAAGATTCTTCTAGCCGTAGTTCTTTTAATGAGTTTGAAAAATTTGAAACATTTGAAACATTTGATATCCCCCTTAGAGGCAGCTTAAAAGGTACTAATCTCATTTTTGAGAAAATCATATCTTCAACAAATTGGGAATCATTTTGGAATATACCTTCCGAGTACACTCAATCAATTGAGCCCTCAGTTATTTCACAACAATCTATCATCTTTGATCTAATCAAATATCAGTGCTCTGTTTTTAATCTTCTCGATCAATTCCAAGCTGCAAGCAACGACTTGTTGTATTTAGTCAATACAAAACATTCCCAATTCTCAAATACTTTTTTTTACCCTTATAAAATTAACAACTTTTATGAAGATTTCTTTGTTCCATTTTTAAAACTCTCAATCTTTTATTCCAAAGAACTAATAACTCCCCTATTGAATATCATAATCCAAAAACAAGCTTTTAATGAAATATTCATTAATATCGAAGAAATAATTCCCATTTTCCTTAATTTTTTTTTATTTTCCACTTCCTATTGGTCAGAATTCATTTCAACTTATTCGAAATTTGAAATGTTTTATAAAATTTTGGATAAAATAAATAACCAAATCAAAGATAACTCAAAAAACACAGATTTTGAAAAAAAATCAATCATCATTAATAATGACAATAATAATACCAACAACAACAATAATAACAATAACAATAACAATAACAATAACAATAACAATAACAATAACAATAACAGTAATAATAATAATAATAATAACATTTTAGATGCAACTACTTTTTTCAAAAACTTTGATAAGTGGAAACAAACCTTACAAGAAAAAAATGTCATATCAGAAGCTGATTTCAATACTATATTTATCAATTACCGTTCTTTCATTTTCAATACTTTATGTATCTTTAATAGTATTGAATATCCTAAATCATTTCAAACCTATAACAACCAAAACAATAATCTTTTTATTGACTTTATCAAGATTAAAAGTCTATTAACATCTTTAAATGAATTTATCATGAAAAGTAGAGAAAGAAATTTTGATAATTTAGTAAGACAAAATTTAAAATTTGAAAAACTTTATAATGGCAATGTCAATACAAATTCTTCAAATTTAATACTTAAATCTTTTTCTGTTGGTAATAAAAGTAATTCTAAAAAAGGAAGAATCAAAAACAAATCAAATCTTTGGGTTTTTTTTCTTTTTCAAAATTGCTTAATTATATCCATTTTCAAAACCAATGGTTTTTTATTTATCGTTCAAGACATAATCCCAATGGATTATTTAATCATTAAGATTCCTGATTCGAATTCTTTTATAAACGATTCTACTTTAGCCGGAGAACCTGGAAAAATTATTGCAATTACCAATTTATCAAAACAAAACTCAACTAATTATTATTTTATTAAAAATTCATCAAAAGATTTACTTGCACCATTTAAAAAAGTTAAATCGGAGTATATGAACTCTAAATCTAAAGATGAAATTTTTACATTAAATCCATTGGTAATTTTGAAAAATAATAGACAAATTCAATTAAAAAAAATTCTATCAGGAAAATTAAATAATACTGAAAAACATCTCAACGGTCATAAGGGTATTAACTTGTATGATTATAATTTAATATCAAGTGTTATCAGTCATCCCAAAAATCTTAAAAATGAGTTATTAGAAACAAATATCGGAAAAGTTTTTTGTAGAGTTTGTATTAAATACAACAATACCGATTATTTGTTATTTGGAACATCAACTGGAATTTATACTAAACTTCAAAAAAGCTACCCCAGGATTGCTGATTTTAAAGACGTTAAACAAATAGAATACTTGGAAGTATTTGATCTCTTAGTAATTTTAACCGAAAATAAACTCAAATACTGTTATATTAATCAATTTTTCCATCATTTTCTAAAAGGTGGTGACCAGAATGAAAATATAGATTTTTTTAGATTACTCTCTGTTCAAAGTGTTTTATCATTTAAACTAGGTGTTTGTAATGGAAATTTAATTGTATTTTTAATGTATAATAGCTTTTCAAAAAGTCAAGGAGGAACCAATCACATAATTGGTGTGATGGGTGAAAATCCAGAATCCAAAAAGAAAAGTGAATTTAATAGTTTTTCTGGGAATAGAAACACTTTTATTGTGGGATATCAACATCAAAATAATAATAAAAAAGACTTGGTTTCCGTATTACACGATATTAAAGAATTGGTTTTGCCAGGGGTCTGTTATGGATTAACTGTTTTTGAAGATTATAGGTTTGTTATTCAGTTAGATAATGGATTTGAATTATTAAAATTAACGTCAAACGATGACAAAACTATTATTCCAACAAATTTCAATAAATTCAATAACATTTATAACAATAATATTAATATTAATAATAATACTATCAATAGTATTGATAATTTTAGATTTGATCAAGTGAATTTTGTTAATGCAATTACTCTTTTAATATTTAATTATGAAGAATTGGTTTTGGTTTATGAATCGTTTGCAATTATTTGTGATAGATATGGAAATAATATTGATAATTTAGTGAATTTTTTTAACATTAAATGCACAAAAGCTGAAATTTTTGAAAATTATTTAATAATATTTTCCAGTTCTATAATAGAAATTTATGACATCAATAATAATTTTGGGAAGGAGCCACCGAAGCAAATCTTTTACGGAGACAGTATCAGTTTAATTGATGATAATTCGTATAACAATAAGAATATTCAATTTTGTGCAAGTAAATATGAAAGTTCATCGAATGATATGATACTATTTGAGCTCGCTCCAAAAGAACAAAAAACAAAAGGTAATTGATGCTTTTGAACAAAATTTCTGGTAAGCCTATGTCTTTATTTATGTAGTTTTATAGTTTGAATTCAAATTCTGATTTATTAGATTAGTATTGTAGAAGTAAAAGCATTGAAAAAAAAAGAAAAAAAAGAAAATAGATATTAAAAATTAAACACATCCATATAAAATGGAATGAACTGTATAGAATTTTGTAAAACCAAAAAAAGACAAAATGTAAATTATTATTATTATTATTAATTTAAAGAGAATACTATAATTGCCAGATTATTATTAGACAGGTGGTAGAGTGTGAATTAGTATGTTGATTTATCAAACATTGTTAGAGTTGCATTTGGCTTATCGTCAAATGGTTCGTCGTTATGTTTGCCTTTAGCATATTTAATGTAGTATTTATCACCAAAGTAGTCCATTTCACTTAAGATACGATCTAGATCAGATTTTGTTAGAGAGCTTGATACACAGAAACGAACTCTTGAGGCGATGATGGGGGTAGCAGGATAACTGACAATAACAACAGCTATACCTCTTTTGTATAGAGATCTTGTTATAGCAGGCATTTTATTTGGGATATATAATAGAAGGGGGATAATGGGAGAGTCGTCCATTCCATAGACAATGAAGCCTAGTTTTCTTAGACCGAAACGCAAGTATCTTGAATTGAAGGCAATTCTTCGTAGTCTTTCTTCACCTTCGCCTGGGTTAATTTCGCCGGTGATTGTTTTCAAGGAGGAAATGATTTGGGCTAAAATAGGTGAAGCAATTGATTCAGCATAGGAACAAGTCATTATATCGATTCTTAATCTATCGATGATGTGTTTATCAGCAGCAATGTAACCGCCGGTAGCACCAAATGATTTGGTTAAGGTACCCATGAGGATGTCGACATCATTTGGGTTGACATTAAAATAATCACAAACGCCTCTACCTTTGGGGCCTATGGCGCCTATAGAATGAGCTTCATCAACAAATAAGTATAGCTTGTATTTTTTCTTCAAGTTGATTAGTTGGGGCAAATTACACATTGTCCCTTCCATTGAGTATATACCTTCGACGACGATTAAGATTTTTTTCCATGGTCTGTGAATCTTTGGTTGGCCTTGGGAGATTTGTTCTCTGATGATGTTTTCTAGATCTTTCATGTCGTTGTGTTTAAATGTTTTGACAGTTGCACCAGATAACCTTACACCGAATCTAATGGAGGCGTGGTTTAGTTCATCGGATAGAACGAGACAGTTTGGGTTTAGTAGAGAGGTGAAGAGGTTGGCGTTGGTGGCATAACCCATTGAGAAGAGGATTGCATCTTCTTTGCCCACGAAATCAGCAACAATGGCTTCACATTTTTGGTGTAGATCAGTTGAACCAATTTGGTTTCTTGGACCGCCAGAGCCTGTGCCATAGGCGTTGAGAGCCTCTAGGGAGAAGTCAGTGCATTGGCCTTGAGATTGGGCAAAGCCTAGGTAGTTGTAAGAAGATAGGTTTAAGCAGGTTGTGGTTTCGTTTGTATATTGGAAAGTTTTATTGTAGTTTGAGGAGTATCTATCGATGCAGGTTATGTATCGACCAGGCACACCGACGGTTGGTCTGGAGAAGCCATCATCGATTCTTGTTTTCAATCTTCTAACGTAGAAACTTTCGAATTTGGAGTAGTAGGGAGCATGGCCATCTTTTTCTAGGACGTCAGAGAAATCGTTTGGAGTTAGGAGAATACCAAAGAAATCTTTAAAATGACCAATTATGATCAAGATTAGATAGTTTAAGTAGGTTAAAAAAGTTGTCAAGTAGGGGGGTTCTTCTATTGGAGGGCTTTCAAAGGCAATCAGATTGTCGTATTGGGACAAGTATAAAAACTCGTCAGATTCTAGAGGACCGTATTCCTTATCGACTTTTTGTTGGTGAGATAGGTCTTTGTTGATTTCGATGTTAGGTATTTCATCAGTGAGCATCATTTTGAGACGGCAGAAGATTAGTTAAAGAGAGAATGGAAAGGAAGATGAGGGAAACGAAAGGAAAAAAAAGGAAAAAAAAGGGGGCAGTACTGGAAAGCAGGACTGGAGGTCGACAAGGACAGAATACGAATACTAGTGGAATTAGAAGGAGGATAAGACGAGAATAAAACAAGAATAAGAACGATGATTGTATTGTTAATGGTGTTGTGTGATGAAAAATGAATATAATAACGTACACAAGAAGTGAATGGAAGGAGCGGAAGTTGCCCGGCGAGAGTTTAAAGTGTAAGGAGAGGAAGAGGAAGAGGAAGATAAGAGGAACCTAAGAAACCGAAGAAGAAAAGAGAAATAAAGGCATAGATAGAGTAGATTACAACGTATATAATATAGTATAGAGAGGTAGAGACGTAGAGGTGAAGGTAGATAGATGTGGATGTAGATATATAATTATGGATTGTCGGGCACCATGTTTTCAATGTTGGTCAAAGCATCGAAAGAGATGATCATATCGTCGTCGTTGCTGTTATTGTTATACATCAAAGGATTCAGCTGATCATTGGCGTCGTTCAGTTTCTGGTTGAGATTGAAGGAGGAGTTCATGGCGTTTAGTATATCCTGGGGGTTGGGAGTGAGATTGTTCTGGACCGAGATGGATGGACGTTTTGATTGAGAAGGGATGGTGTCTGTGCCGGCCTTGTGAGCGTGGCTGTTGATTACGTTGCGTAGGTTGTTGTCGTTCAACTGGGAGGAGAGGTTGTTCAAGTTGTTGATGATGGGATTGATGTTGTTGGACTGTTGTTGCTGGATTCGCTTCTGGATAAGGAGAAAGTTCTTGGTGTCTTCAAGGTTGCTGGACATAAGATCCAAGTTATCCTGAAAAAGAACAATGTTTCTGTTGAGCTTGTCGATGTTGGAGGACAACGAGGTGGAGGCGCCAGCGTAGGTGTAGTTGGGCGTGAGGCCAGAGGGGGCAGCGTCGACAGAGAGGTCGCTGAGGATGTTGGCGGTGGAGACAAGAATGCTGTGGTACGCGTCGACCAACTCTTTGTTCTGGAAAGACATGGTGTTGCTTCTGCCGCTTCTGCTGTTTCTGCTGGAGGAGCCAACTTGAGCTCAGCGCTTAAACCCCCTCTAACGTGCACGTGTGATGGACGTCGTGTGCACGTGATCGCTGCTCTAGCCAATGCCTGTTGAACAAAAACAGCGGCACACCCTGTCGGGCTTGAAATATCTGGACCTGATATCTCCAGCAAAAGCATCTTCCTCTTCTTCTTCTCACACCACGCCAACATGTTCAAGTACAACGCTCTCAGCACCATTGCTCGCTCCACTGCCTTTGTTGCCAGAAGATCTCTTGCCACTGAGGCTCCAGCTGCCTCCTCAGCTTTGAAGTTGTCCTTCTCTTTGCCCTTCCAAACCTTATACAACGATGCTGAAGTCTCCCAAGTCAATATTCCTGCTGCCACTGGTGTCATGGGTGTTTTAGTTAACCATGTTCCTACTGTTGAAGAACTAAAGCCTGGTGTGATCACCATCATCGAAAATCAAGGCAAATCAAGCACTTTTTTCATCAACGGAGGTTTTGCTACTGTTCAACCAAACTCAAAATTATCTATCACTGCAATTGAAGCCTTTCCTTTAGACTCCTTTGATTCTAACGAAATCAAAGCTCAAATAACTGAAGCTCAAAAGGATTTAACCTCTCAAGATCAAGAAGTCGCTGCTGAAGCCTCAATCAAATTGGAACTTTTACAAGCTTTAGAATCTGTTGCTAAATAAATAAACAAGTAATTAATCAATCAGTATCTATATATCAGTAATTAATTCATATTCTAAATTTATATACGTCTTCTAAAAATGATCTTTCCACTCAATTTATGTTTTACTTACGCTTCATGTCCATTAACCTCGCTCTTCAGCCAATCACAGCGCGTCTTCTACGCCACACGGACTTATTTGTCTTTATCCCAAACAAATAGTTGTTCACGCCACATTATTACTCTTTTGGGTGATCATCCATCTGGAATGCACAGCCACATTCTATCGTTTTTTTTAATCTTTTAATCGTTTTTTGACATTTTTCTTATAATAATATAATTAATTTGATGATTATCAAATATTAATTATTTTTATTCCATTTACCAATCTCCTTTTTTCTCTTTTTGTTGGTTGGCTGTTGTTTTTTTTTTCCCTTCTTTTCTTTACTAATCTTTACTAATCTTTAATATACACTAACTCCCCCATAATGTCACAAAATCTTACTTCTTCTCCTGAAGCTGCAGCCGCCACTGATTCTACTTCCACTGCTTTACGAAACGATTTCTCTGAATTATCAATCAATTCAAACGACACCATAACTAAAGAAAAGGACAACAGCATCATCAAAAAACAACCTTCTTCCTCTTCTTCTACAAACATTACCACTACTACCGCTACTACTATTCACTCTCCCCCTCCATCTCCTTCTTCTTCCTCCACTCCTTCAACCGATAGATTAAAGAAAAAAGTCACTTTTACTTCTGACAGCAAATCCTTATCAACTGAAGAGATTCCTCTAAATCACAAGAGTATCTATCAATCGATTAAATCTACATCTACTAAATATAACAATAACAACAACAACAATAATAATAAATCTAAAATTGAAGAAACTAAAAAAACACTTCAAGATGCTTTTCCAACAATCGATCAAAAATACATAAATGCCGTATTAATTGCAAGCTCAGGCAATTTGGATTCAGCCTTTAGCGCTTTGTTATATCTAAGCGATCCCAATTTCAAAATTGATTTGCCCACTCCAAAGAATCAATCGCTAAATTTACCATCAAATGATCAGTTCAAGAAAATGAATCAGTTAGAACAAGACGAATTGTTGGCGAAAAGATTAGCAAAACAGTTTGAAATGGAATCTACTCAATCAAATAGATCTCACCAATCAAGACATAAATCAAGTAAACCCCCAGTTCCAATAAAATCAAACAGATTCAAACAACAACAACAAAGACACCAAAATCAAAATCAAAATCAAAATCAGAACCAAAACGAGAGAAATAAAAAAAATAAATCAGAATACTATGACGGAGATTCTGATTCTGATGACCCATTCACCACTTTTATAGACGAGGACTTGCCTCAGATCAAAAAAGAAATCGCAAAGGGTTTTGAAGAAACTAAATTAAAAGTTAACAATTGGGTATCTGAATTAACTAAAAAATTCAATCAAAATGAAAACGATAATAACACTAATAACACTAATTACGCTAATGATAGCGATGATGATTATAATTATAACAGCCGTAAACCAACCAATACCTCACAATTATTTAGCGCTTTTGGATCCCAGCCCAATTCTGCTAGAAATTCCTCAACATATAGAAGAAACATGCCATCAAGATATGACGATGACCCAGTGGAATTAAATCATAACTACGGATATGGAATTTCTTTGAAAAACGATGATCTAGTTGGTTCTAATAATGACAATGCCGTTAATAGAAATAACAATATAATAGATAATATCGAAGAAGAGAATGCACCAAAATTGCCAGTGCGTTCTTCAAAAAGCATTGCAATTCCAAGCACTCCAACCAAGAAATCTAATGACGATTTTGGTGATATAAGTAATAACAGCAACGACCATGTTGGTGTTGATAAAAATAATGCAGTCAAGAAAGACATTGAGCCGGAAACAGATATTTACGGCACGCCAAAGCGAAGAACTAGAGACTCAAGCATTTCATCAAATACTAATAAATGGCAACCATTACCAAATGCACATTTATCAGAATCAGCTTCTAACGATGCATTTTTGGTTACAGATAGTGACGATGATTATGATGATAACAACAAATTTAAGAAATGAAATGAGTAAATAATTGTATTCTACTCCTTGGTATGATTGATTGTTATTGATTGTTATTGATTCTTATATCTGTGATAATTGTTTTTGTTGAACTCTTTATTATTAAACTTTATATTTATTTAAATTTTTTTTTTTATTTTTTTAATTAGTATCTATTTATTTTCTTATTTATCTACTTGTTATCTTATCTAGTTGGTTATTTTCAGATACTTGTACCTGCCATGTTTTCTGAAGCAACTAAAAAAGATATAAAACACCAATTGAATTACCAATAGGGCAATAACAATGCAGATTTTGATTACAAAATTGTCAATTCTGTAAAATTTGTAACCCACTACAAAGACCAATACCAGGGACGCAGCGATACCTTCCCATATGACAAACTTAAAGTACCTGGGAGACGACGAGGTGAGAACAAAAGTTAAAGCTACAAGCACACAATAGATAGAGAAACTGATTATCTGCAAGTACAATTTTTCTTTGAGCAAAGCATAGTAAATGAAGCAAAGCGAGCCAAAAAGCAAGGCAGCAAAGACGACAAAATTGAGGATCTGGAGGAATCTGTTGGGTCGTTCTGGCGCCCGATTCTCAATCTGCTGTGGATAATTGTAGGGGTCGTCTTTGCTGTTATAGGGAGAAGCTTCAAGAGGATAGGAGTTCATTGTTGAGAGAATTGATGAGCATTTCTAGGACATGGAGGGTGTATCTGCTTATATATCTTCAGCATATCCCTTATCCCTTATATCGTCTTCAAGAAGGCTATAGCTATCTAAGCCAGCAATAGCCCCATGGCGCTGGACTCCTGCGTACCCAAACCTTATCGGCTTTCTTTTTCATTGTCTCAGATCCACAGGGACGGCGCATCACGTGTCTAAGATAACAGCTCGCTGGAAAAAGATTTGTTTCAGCTTGTGGTGAAGAAGCAGCAAAGCAAGAGCTATGCGAAGGTAGAAGATGTATAGCAGGTATAACTCGTATTCGTCTGGCTCGAGACCCATCAACTACGCTCCCTCGTCGCGCAGGAGCCAGGGTGCTGCTGACAAGAACCTTCAGATCCTCAAGACGTTGCTCAAGGAGCCCTCTAACAGGTTTTGTGCTGACTGCAAGACCTCGTCCCACCCACGATGGGCCTCCTGGAGCTTGGGAATCTTCATTTGCATTAGGTGCTCAGGCATTCACAGAAGCATGGGAACTCATATCTCTAAGGTCAGGAGTGTGGACTTGGATTCTTGGAACGACGAGCAAGTCAAATCGATGATTAAATGGGGCAACAAAAAGGCCAACCACTTCTGGGAGTACAATTTGCCTGACAACTATGTTCCAGACCAAAGTAAAATAGAAAACTTCATACGAACAAAATACGACTTGAGAAAATGGGCCATGAGTAAAAAAATAATTGATCCAATGTCAATCACCTTTAATGAAGAGGATAATGACGCTATTAATACCAATCGAAATGGCAACGGTAATGCTGTCAAAGCTGATAATCAAAATTCCAATAAACTTGGAAATGAAGGTCCTCTTGACAGCAATAATTCAACAAAGAGATCCTCTCTTCATTTAAAACAAAACAATCAAAACAATCCCACAAATAATCCCGTAAACAACTCTTCAAACTCATTACTTGATTTATCGTTTTTATCTTCTCCTTCTCCAGCATCTCAAAACAGTGTTTCTAATAATGATAACAATACTACTACTACCACTAATAGTAATAATAATAATAATAATAATAATAATAATAATAACTCGAGACCCGATTTGAAAAAATCAATTTTATCATTATATTCAACCCCTTTGAACTCTACTCACTCTCTGTCTTCCTTTAATAATGTAAATTATTCAAATAACATTTACACTCAGCAATCTCAATCTCAATCCCAATCTTTTTTTAGTTCTACTCCCATATCAAATTACAATAACAATTCCTTTGCAAATAATAATAATAATAATAATAATAATAATAATAATAATAATAATAATAATAATAACAATAATCAGTTTGCTTCTTTATATAGCAATTCACTCTCAAATTCAAATTCAAATTCAACCCCAAACTCTAATTCTAACTCAATCAATAATTCAAAGAATAATCTAGATGACGACTTATTTAACAATGTTTGGAGCTAACTGATTATTACCATTAAAAATTATTCACGTTAACTATAGATCAAAAGCAAAAGAAAAAGAAATTAACAATAAAAATTTAATAAAAAAAAAAAATAAACAATATATATAGCTACTATATTTTTATATAAAATAATCTCTGCATCATTTTCTGTTGTTATTTTTACCCTTTTGTATTTTTCTGTATTTTTTTCTGTATTTTTTTGTTGTTGTTGTGATGTTCAATTCATTTCTTATCATTTAATTCCATCTTCGTATAATTTAATTCAATTTACCTAATCATTATTCAACATCTTGTAAATTTATTATCGGTTTCTTTTTAATCGATTTTCTATTTATAACCTCGATTTCAGGTTCACCTTCTGCATCTAAATCAATATTTTGAACATCATCTTTTGGACTCAAATTGGAATCTAATACCGATTCGTCATTTAGCTTGAATTTAAAACTTGGATCAAATTTAGAGTCTTTATCCTTTATTATTTCCTTTTGATCCTTGTTTTTAGTATTACCATCATCAACAATGTTTTTCAAATTGGATTTAGGAACCTCTTTAAAATCTTCCAAGATTCCATTGTTGATCAATTTATTATTGTTGATCAATATATCTTCTTTATTATCTGGATTTTGGACTTTGCCATTCAAGTTCTTTGAATTCAACTCCTTTGCAGTATTAAAATTCTCAACTTTATTCTGTTTCAAGCTATTTTCATTTCCATTGGGATTTGCATCGCCATTTCGTGCGCCAACTATCTCCAAAATAATGTATCCAAACACTATCAAAGCAAGAACATAAAAGAATAGCTTTCTGGCTTTATTGGTTATGATTGGTGATCTTCTGGGATTCAACTTGTATGAAACCGGTTTGGGCAACAATTGACTAGACTTGTGTAACAAAGGCATCTCGAGTATCTATAAGCCAATACAAATACAAGTGTATATACTGCAAGAAAATAGGATTGATATAAAAGAAGTTTTGGTTGAAAGAGAAATAAAAACAGGATTTTAATCTCAACTGATCTTTGATTTGTATTTATCTATCGTCTTGTCAAAAACAACACACCCAGCAGATTATCTCCGTGTGACTTCAAACGCCAGTTCCATCGCCCAAATTTCAGCGCAAATTACAGTGCAATCACTCAAAACAGCCCTGGTTTTTTCTCCAGAGCCCGCTGGCTCCTAACGGTTTCCGCGGATGGATCCTGTATTCTGTATTTAAAGCTTGATCTGGCCATCGTCTTTCTAGACAAGGTGTTAACAATAGAGTAAACACAGCAGAAGCAGCAGAAGCAGCAAAAAGGTTGAGCAAATTGCCTTTTTTGAGAGGTGCTCTTTATGTGCTTGGGCGTAAGATCATAGAAATGTGGAATAAAGGAAAGAAACATTTATTAATGTGAACCGAAACTTGTAACGAACGAAAGTAAAACAATCACCAAATCTCACAAAGTACGTGATAGTCTCTGTAAAAAAAAAAGGAAAAGAAAAAAAATAACTAAAAAGGAAAGAAAAAAAAACTAAAAAAATAGATTAATAAATTAAAGGGTAATAATAAATTAAATTAACATGTTTATTTGTTCAATGATGAAATCTTCAAAATTAACCGTGGCAACTCCAGAATTATTTGTATCGAATTTTTGAAAAAAAGCAGTGAATTTAGTCAACCAAATTAAACATTCAATATAATTACCTAATTTCATAGCATTTGGAGTTTTTGATGAAATCATATAATCAAGACCATAGTTTTCTTGAATGTTAGCTCTTGAAAACTTATTAAAGATAAACTTTGAAAGATTTGGAGATAAATTATATTGAAAAATTTGTAAAGTATTTAAAAACTCTTCGTAATCAATTGTGAGAGATTTATCAGTATCCATACTTTTAAACGAATCAACCCAGAAATTAAAATATCTATACAAGAAAAAAAATTCTCTGAAATCCAACGTATTGTTTTTATTCCTATCAAATAATTTGACCATCAATCGAATTGTTGAGTTGTCAAATTTGGTTCCATCAGGATTTTTAATGGCTTCACTCAATTCTCTTTGAGAGATTTCGCCTGAATTGTCAGTATCAATTCGACGAAACAACTCCTGGCATTTATACTGGATCTCTTCGACTTCTCCAGTTCGTTGTTGAGGCAAATTCATCAACCCAGGTATTTCTGTTACCACATCCTGTGTCCACAAAGGAAAACCTCGAGAGTTCTCAAACAGTTGAGGAACAAAAGTAGAACCAGAAGGGGCTGGTTGACTATAGGGTCTTTGGGAAACAGATCGAAAACCATAGATATTGGGATGGCTTTGATAGGCTTGTTGTTCTTGATAGGTTTGAGCTGAGGTCCCTGGTGCAGAGTGAAAATATTGATTATGTGGTTTTGATTGGTTTTGGTAGTAAATAGGTTGTTGTTGTGATTGGTATTGGTATTGGGGTTGATATCCAGAGTTGGAAATATCATGCAGTGGAGGAACTCCATTGTATGTGCTTCTTCTATTCATCTTTGAAATGCTTTTGATAGTGTTGCGTTGGTGGTGAGAGTGTAGTAGCTGGTTTGGCAGAAAGAAGCTCTTTTAGTGATAGGGAAAAGAGCAAAGGAGACTACGCCAACTCCAGATATAAACCGTAGACCCAGCTGCAAGTCCTAATCCTGGACTCCCTAAAATAGATCTAATAGATCCAGCAAGAAATCGGTTCTATACATTTCTAATCACAACTATTGCTGTCCAGCTATTGTTGTCCAGCTATTTCTAACTTGACTGTTTTGTCGTCAAAGACCGAACCATTCTCTGGCGTTGGATGTTGTTAAGTGTGGTAAAGTGGTAAGACACTTCAAAAATATGGACAACATTACTCAACAAACTCAAATTGGTCTCTTTATTTCCTGCTCTCAAACTGGCCTAGAAAATGCAAAACAACACTTTCTTCAATGGGACCAAGCACCCTGTGTTGCTCAAGTTCCCTAGCTCGTTGTTAAAAGGTTTCTCAAAGGGTTCTGTCAATTTCAGAGAGAATCTCACTGCGTTGATCAACAGAGCTTATAATAAGCCAAGGTTGAGATACAATATCATTCTAACAGAAAGAATAAAACACCACGATGATATCTTGCTTGATTTGGGGTTGGATAAGTCCAGCAGTAACTGTTATATATATTGTTTATTGGTTCCCAGGGACTGGCTAGGTTTTACTTCTGATGAGTTGATTGAGAGGTTTCAGAAAAGCACCACCACTAATAGCACTCAAACAGTTCTAATTGAACACGAATCAGAATTTCGTTTTAACAAAGAAATCAACGATAGGGTCGTTGGTATCATTGGAATCAAACCATTTCAAGACCTAGATCAGACTTCACTTTCTAATGTATATGGTGAATCATATTCAAATATGTTAGAACTAACATCCTTTTGTTCTTTCAAATCAAAAACTGGTCCACTTTTGTTCAATTTAATGAAAAATGATATTCATTTAAGTTTCCCTCAAAACTTCAAAAAAATTGTTGCAATTGTCATCGTTGAACATAATTTAGTTTTCTATTATGAAAAGATTTTAAATTTTATCAAGATTGATAATTCAATAGTTAAGATTAAATTAAAAAGTGGTCAGAGTACTGAGAAAAATGTCTTATTAGAAGGTGGTATTAAAGCCACAAGAGACTTTCATTTACAGTCATTATACATCAATTTATAGAATAGACTAGACTAGACTAGAATAAATAAATAAATAAATAAATAAATAAATAAATAAATAAATAAATAAATAAATAAGCCTTTTTTTATTTTTTTATTATTATTATTATAAACTGATTCTTAAGGATCATTTTCACCAATGTAATCCCAATTTTCACTTTTATATGATGCATAGCATCTAAATTCATTACTTAACCCATTTTTATGCTCTGGAATGAAATTTGTCATCTTGGTGGTGGGATAAATTTTCTTTATCAAATCTTTCATTCTTTCACCTGTACAGACCAAAATTTGACTATTCGAATTTGATAAAACTCTTGCAGTGATTGCAGCTTTGGTCTGGCATTCATTTGACAAAAATGGTGGATCAATTAGCAATTTATCAATCTTACTTTTAAACAAATCCAATTTATCAAATTTCAATGGGTTTTTAAAATCATAAAAGATGAAATTCGAATCTCCAGCTAATAATCGGAATCTTTTATCAAATTCAAATAAATAAATGTTTTTCTTTAAATTTGGTCTGTCTTCCAATTTCAATTGGTCTAAAATTGCAGAATAAACAGATGGTGCAGATATTATACAAATTTTGGTATCTTCAGTCGTACCATTTAATAACTCTCTGGCTAGAAAAGTTGCTGTTTTTTCATCATACCAAAATTGAGATAAATTCCAATCTTCTTTAAATAAATCAATATTTAAATCATCATTATTTTTATGATCATGATAATGATCATGATCATTATCATTCTTGAAATCTTTTAGTGTAGCACTTGCCGGTTTATTATATACTTTTGACAATTGAAGCAATCTCTCTTTTTCTTCATTTTGAAACTCTTGTAACGCTTTCAAAGCATAATCAGATAAAACACTGATAAATTGAAATAATTTATAGTTAGTTGAAAGATGATTTGACTAGATCTCCATGAAAAACCTCAAACTATCTAAAAACATACGGAAAATCATCATCAGAATCAGACATTTTTTGTGGTTTTTCGAATGATTATGCTACTTGAAATGCCAAACTTCAAAAAGTTATTGCTCTTTCTTCTGATTGAAAAATTTATCAAGAAATGATGTCAAATTAAAAAAAAAAAAAAGATTACGATTTCATGACGGAATCGTAATAATCGCCAAAATATACCGAGAATTCGAACATTACGCAATATACGAAAAGTGTTTGGCACGTGATAATGTTTTGAAAAGGTCACCCGCACTTGATCGCTAAATCCCGTTTCTGAAATGGAACTTTGACGAAATTTGTCTTATGACCCATTTTGAGCGATAGTTATTTTGATAACTGGAATCTTCTTAATTTTCCCACTTGTTTGCTTTGTTCAATTGCTATTTTATCATCATTACAAGTGCTTGAGCTGTTATTTTTTTTCAATTCATGTCCAAATTAATATGAAGTGGGCTTTTAGGTGTTGAAATAGCGGACATTTCTACCATACTGGTGGTTATGCGCAACTGCATGCGCAAAGGAGCAGTATACGCATTGCATCCTTATCTGTAAATAGAAAACAAGCAAAGAAATAAGGAGCTGGTGAAGGAGATAATAAAGAGGTTGAAGAGTGGGAGGATTTAAAAATGTATTCTGGTGGATAGAAATTGAAATTGAAATTAAAATTAAAATTAAAATTAAAAGTAATCAAGATTTTCCCAAAAACTTCTTTTGAATAATTATCCACTTCTAAAAACAAGAAATATTCTTTTAATTCATACAAGTGCTGCAAACATTGTAAATTCAGGTTGATCATTAGTAGCAATAATTGTAGTGATAATTTTAAAGAATAAAAAAAAAATGGTATGATAATCGAGTATCATTATCTTAAGACTTCAGATTTAAGAATTAAGGCTAAAGTAATGGATTGTGATTTATGATTTATGATTTTCAGAACCGAGATTCAGAGTCTTTTGAAATAAACGGAAAATCGAATAAAGGGTAATAAGGATTTTAATATGATTGTTGGATAGATAAAACAGTGAGAATGATTGAAAAATTAGGGTAAAAGGTAAAGATAAAAACCAATTGGGAAGTTTAATGAGAAATTGATTGAAAAATGAAATTTTAGTAAGGAAATGGGGTTTTATTAAACTGGGTAGAAATTATTATTATTATTATTATTATTATTATTATTATTATTATTATAATAATGGTATTAATAAATAGGGAAAAAGAAAAACCGTGATAGATATTATTAGTAATGCTAAGAATATTAGTAATGATAATAATATTAATAATGCTAGCTATAATAATAATTATTTGCCTTATGTTTTGTGTTTATTTGTTTAACCACTCTCCTCAATTTCTTAATATGAAATATCGCAAGATGAATTTTTTTAATAATGATTATAATGGTTATTATGTTATAACGATTAAAGAATTGGTGAGCTAGTTTTATTAATGAGTGAGTATGGTGATATTCAAATTGAATGAGTTCTGGAAGTGAAGCTAAAAAATGACCATTATTTTAAAGAAGAGCAGAAACGGGTGATTGAATAATACAGTTTTTTTCTGTTTTGTTTGATAGATTTTTATGATGGATTGATGTCTTTGTTCAAGCTTTGATAGATTTATTAATGCCATTTCTATTCAAATAATGTAGGTGGGTATAAGACATGTTGTAGCAAATAAATGTATAAGCACGAGTATAACAATACTTTATAAAAATAGATGATACATGGTAATGCCACGAAAGTCCTTGTCTAGTAATAGAAAGCAGCAATAAGAATGTCAATTATCTTTTTAATTGATTAGGGCAAGGTATGGTCTGGCATTTTTTTTTTTTTTTTTTTTTTTTTGATTTGATTTGATTTGATTTGATTTGACTTGACTTGACTTGACTTGTTGTTATCTGTAGAGAGATAAAAGATTGGTTGTTTGATAATAATTGAGTGGGATTTGAACTCCTCTGGAGTCTTGAATACCTGAAATGATTAAAACGCTTTTAAATATATGAATAAATTATTTGTAAATAATAAGGAAAAGTAAATGAAAGTAAATGAAAGTAAATGAAAATGAAAGAAAATAAATGAGAATAAGACTTGAATAAGATTTAAATAAGATTCAAATTAAAATTGTTGCAATTTTGTTTATTGAGTTTTAAACCGATTCCACTAAGATTTTTCAGCTCCTTAAAATATAAATCTGGGTGCTAATTGTATTGTGACTTTAATTGACTTTTCTTCTTTGATTGGAGTGGTTAGGATCGTATCAATTTAAGTTGACTAGCGACTCAGAGTAACCCAAAATCAAACGAGATAAAAGGAGATAAAAAAAAGCAGATAACATTCATGTTCAGCTGTTGGATTTAACATTTCCAGATCTAAAAGCAGCAGATCAAGCAATCACTAAGCTGCAATACTATTGAGTTGTCATTTCCTCATACCAAGCTGTTAGAGAGCAACAGATAAGAGTAAAGCGATACCCAAAGAGCGTAATGACTCAAAGTCAGCTATTTCTCAAACAATACTAGCGAAGTGAGTGCTTTCTCTCCAAACCACCAGAGCTGTAACAGAATATAAGGTGAAATTTCACACACTTCCCAAAACAGCAACAGACCATCCGTGGGAGGTGCGACAGAAAGCAGCACACTGCGTTAGACAGCATTTCTGACCCGTGGTTCTGGTACCCGATAGCGTTATCGGCAGCGTGCGTCTGCATCTAACTGCTTCCGCATGCTGCGGACCCGGACGGGGCTGCACGCGCTGCACGCGACGCCCTCGGCGGGACTCTGACGCGATTGGCTGGGGTTCCCCACAAAAATTAGACCTGGATCTTTTTGGCCAGGTCTCGTTTTGAGACAAAGCGAGCCGACGAGGGCGGAAAGATATAAATATGGTCTTCTCGCTCTCTTTTCTCGCTGGGCTTAATCTCTCTACATCTGTGCTTTTACTCGACACTGCTCTTGTTTCTTCCACTGCCTCTTCTGCTTCTTCTGTCTTTTCTGCCTCTTCTGTCTTTTCTGCCTCTTCTGTCTTTTCTGCCTCTTCTGCCTTTGCTCTTTTCTTCTGCGACGTTCTCCCAGTTCTTGCCTCTCTGGTCGATTATTTACTGCTTATCGCCATCTCACCCTGCCTTTTTCTGTTTCATACCCCGTGTTTCGCTCAAATAGTCCTACCCCATACTTTGCACTGCCCAAAATGCTTCTCTCTCTTTCAGGTAACAAAGCTGCCAACATCTACGACTTGATTCCTCCACACTTGCTCGAGTCCATTATCGCTCCCTTGCCCAACGATGTCTTGTTGATTTTGGCTCTCTCTTCCAACTGCTTCATTTCTGCGTTGGCCTTGAAATTGCTCTTCAAAAACCTAATCGTCGTCTTGAACTCCGACAACTACTACTACTGTCACAATGGCCTATTGAACACTTACCAAAATAAAGACACCAACAACAAGAGTTTCAAGAACCCAAAGCCATTCAAATTGAATGCATTGAACTTGGGCTTGTTCAGATCTCTTATCGCAAATTTCACCCATAATCTCGTCATCCAGTCCACCAATAATTCCTACAAATCCCTAATCTCAAATAACAACCAGCTAGTCAATCTCGTTCCCTTTACTAATATTAGAAAATTATCTGTCATTCACTCAATAACGTCCTTTGAAATTGACATAATACAGAACGTCCATGACTTCTTATCAAATTATATTGACACCTGCATTTTACTTGAAAACAACCAGCAAATTACAAGTCTATCCCTTAATTTCAACCACAATTTCAATCATTTTGCTTTTATTAACAACGTTCTACCACTTTCAAATCAGAATTTACAAACCTCCTTGAAAACTTTGAAAATTTCTTCTTCCAAGTTATCCTTTGTTCCAAACTTGTCAAATTTCCATAAAATTAAGCACTTGAATCTATCAAATAACAATCTATCCAATATTTCATCTCTAGGTACTCTTCAATACCTCAAATCAATCAATCTCTCTAGAAATCAATTTTCCTTTATTGACCCTATCGATTTTGACTACAAAATCAATAAAAACTTACTCTCAATTAATCTATCCCACAACAGTTTATCCAAAATTTACGGTTTAAATTACTTGTCCAATTTACTCGACTTGGACTTATCAAACAATCAAATCTACAAAATAGAAAACCTAAATGACAACACTAACCTACACTTTCTCAATTTATCAAACAACTTTATCAAATCAATTGAAAACTTAAACCCCCTAAAAAATCTAAAATTCTTAAATTTATCAAACAATAAAATTGAAAGAATTGAAAACTTGAACAACTTGAAAAATCTCATCTCCTTGAATTTAGAATTCAACAACATCAAAAGATTATACAATATCTCCAAAAATTTAAACTGGGATTCATTAATTGAATTGAACTTGAATCAAAATGACTTGTCCTCTCTAAGATACTTGAAATCCTCTTCACCATCCAACAATCTAGAAATTTTAAGACTAAATAACAACTCAATTGATTCCATCGATGAATATTTAAATCTAAACTTTAAAAATTTAAATTACCTCGATTTATCCTTCAATAGACTTTTCTCCGTCGATAATTTGCCACTCTCAATCAATTCCCTAAACTTGCTGGGCAACTCATTATACGAAATATCAAACTACTTAATTGATCTCAGAAATCTAAAGTTCCTAGACTTATCTTGGAACCAAATCACCGATATCAATAATGACAATAACTTGAAGTTATTGAAATTCAAAAATAATGTCAAAGTAAACCTCGAAAGCAATCAACATAACTACAACACTGATGAATTTTATTACACAATCTCAAATTCCACTTCCAGTTCCACTTCAACCTCCTCTTTTACTTACACAAACTACACTTATTCAAACAACAAAAACTTGTATCCCCAAGTGTTTCTTCCCGCTATTAACACTAATAATCTTAATAGCAATAATTTTAGTGAGCAAATTCCAAGAATAAAAAGCTCACTAAATATGGCAATCGATAATCTAACACACAACGATAATTTCAGAAACCTTGCTAGTTCATTTTTAAACATTTCTTAAATTAATACTTTTCTTTTTTTAATTTCAATTCATGGTTCATTTTTTTGCTATATTTAATTTTTCTTATTGTTTTCATCTTCATTCATATTTTTTCTTTCATTCCTTCATTTGTTAAAGCTTTTTCACCCTTTTTATGGTCTTTATGGGCTATACACGTACTATTTCACAAGCATATTCAACTGTCATTTTCTCACAATACAACCTCATTATTGCTACCCAGCAATCAACTGTCTGCCCTAAAAATCACTTTGTAGAAACTGTTAGAGCCCTAATTCTAGTTAAAACCCGAGATCTTGCATACACATGCATGTATCCACAGGAATGTGTCAAACTTCGGATGCATGCTTGGAAAACCAGCGCACGGGGGCTGTGTTACCACAGAAGACCACCCTTTGGCTTGCTCCCCAAAATTGGACCTGTTCGATATTCCTCATCCAACATTTGCTTAAACCCTATTTTTTCTTATTGTTTTTTTCTTGATTAAGCAACTATTTATAATCGATTGAATATCACTTCTTAGCTTGATATCATAACAATGCAACCCCTTCTTGGTTCAATCCACATCCCTATTCTTTACTATACTAATCCCCCATTGACCTAATTTATAATTTCTCAAACAAACAACATGAAACTAACTTCAATAACATCGAAAATCTCCTCCAAAGAATCAACCCAATCAAAAAAACCCGAGTTTTGTCCAATTTCAAACACTCAAATACTAGACGACATTTTTTCAACTACTGCTAGAATCTCAGAAGAATTGAATATCACTAAAAGTCAAACTACGTATTTATTAATCTCATATAACTGGGATCACGAAAAATTACTACAGGAGTTTAACCAATCGCCTGTATCTTCTCATAATCAGTTTTTTATAGATCATGGTGTAATACCAGATAAAACCAAATCGAAAATTATCGAGGAAACTGAAAATAATACAAAATTAACAACATGTTTAGTCTGCTATAATGAATTCTCAGATAAAACTCTAATTGGCCCTTGCTGTGGTCACAAATATTGTACTATATGCTACTCCACCTATATCATAAATAGTTTTAATAATGTCTATCATCCATTGAAACATTTAACATGCATTAATCCAGACTGTAAGTTATTAATCAGTAAATCTGATTTGATTGATTTTTTCAGCCCAAAAAACAAAGTTGAAAATAAAAATAATACTATAGCTGATTCAAATGAAAAACCAAATGAAAATAGTTCCAAACTTAATTCAAACAATAAGAGCTCCACAAATAGCATACAAGGGGAAATTGATAAAAATAAAACTAATAAAACTAAAGCTGATAAAGCTGACAAAGCTGATATAAAGAACAATATAAAGACAAATAAAATACAAAATGATACTGATCTTCAGGGAATGTCAGGTATTCCAAAAATAAATGAACTTCATGATCTTTATGAACTGTATGAAATGTATGAAATGTATGGACTTTATGAACTTTATGAACTTGGTGAAACTATTCAAATTAACAAAACTAATGAAACTAGTGAAACTAGTGAAATTAACGAAACTGAACTAAAGGAATTGAATAATAATATAAAGAAAATTTACAGTATAATAGGAAATTGGGATAATTTGATGCTCAATTCTTATCTTTCATTTAAAGCAGGTCCAACGAAATCCTTAAAATACTGTCCTTTTAAAAATTGCGGTTCAATCGTTAAATGTGATGAATATGATAAATATTTTCCAAAGACTTCATCATCTTTGCCTGATAACAAAAAAAACAAAAAAACTCATGACAAAAGATTTATTGCAATTTGCGTGAAAAATCATAAATTTTGCTTTGAATGTGGTGAAAAATATTCCGAAAATTCAAACTGTGGTAAAGATTATTCAATAGATATGGAGGAACTTTCAAGCCTTCAATGGAAACATCTTCATTCAAAGCCATGTCCAAATTGTCAAGCACTTATTGAGAAAAATGAAGGATGCGATACAATGAAGTGCTCTCAATGTTCTGACACATTTTTTTGGAGTCATTTGAATTATTATGAAATTCCATTGGAAATGCAGGAAGAATATATTGAGATATTTGGTAAAATTGAAAATAATAGAGATGCTTCAATAAATCCAGATACTGTTCCAATACCAGCAGCTGAAAATGCAAATGGGGGAAGGGCAGACAATGATTCTAATAAACTTGTTTTGGTTTTTGCGATCATTTTGGGGATATTGGTTAATACCTTGGTTTTGGTTGGATTAAAAAAGCATGTTAAATGGTTGCAAATTTTTTCAATTTGCATAACATATTGCTATTCATTAACATATTTTTTCACAGGATATGATGCTCTTGTTACATATATTTCCAGTTTAGTTTATATGATTATTGTGGGAGCTGATAAAAGCTCACCGGTTTGGTTGATTGTGCTTGCATCTATTTCTTTTGCTTTTCATTTCTTCAGATTTGTTATCATATCTTCATGATGATTTTTAATCTTTCTAGGAACTAAACCACATATTAGTGGACTAGATCAGATTGAAATAGATAAGAAATAAATAAAAAACAAACAAACAAACAAACAAACAAAACAAAACAAAACAAAACAAAACAAAACAAAACAAAACAAAACAAAACAAAACAAAACATAAATAAAAAACATAAATAAAAAAGATGAACGAAAAGGATAAACAGTGATATAGATTAAATAGTTTTTGAATCATTTTGATTTAATAAAATATCTAAAATCTTGTCCATTTTATTGTTCAAGTTTCTTTGTTCGATATATATCAATTGCAATTTATTTTCGACATCATTCATTCTATCAAATAATAACTGATTGCAAGAAGTATTTTGACAATTGAGTAAATGATCAACTTTATTGGGTTTATTAGATTTATTTTGAATTTCATCTTCAAGTAGATTTTCATTTTCAATTAGATTTGCATTTCCAATTAGATTTGCATTTCCAATTAGATTTTCATTTCCAATTAGATTATCATCATCAGCTAGATTTTCTAATGAATTCTCAATTGAATTTTCAAATTTATGAATTCTCTCAAGGTCGTCTTGGTTCTGAATTTCATCCAAGGAATCGCCTTTTAGTTTTTTGAATAGAAGATTGCTTGAGGTCTCCACAGTCTTTTTTCGCTTTCCATTCAACTTTGAAACCAACTGAGCATCATTGTTTTGTCTTGACAAGCTGAACTTTTCAAAGAGGTTTAGCTGAGCCAACCGAAGGCCCTCAAGTGTGAGACTGCTGGAACCACTGGAGTCTTTAGCGTTGTGTAGATGAAGCCCCATCTTGATCGAGTTTGTGATGAGCTGTCGATAGGACCTGATGCTGTAGGGCTTGTTGTTGGCGTCATTGAAGTCATTGATTATCTGTCTCGTAGTCCTCTGGTAGAATCTCTGCCTGGGGAAAGTGTTGATGTCACCACCAGACTTGAATATATCTGCTTCGATGGCCATGTTGAGAAGATGTGTTTTCTCTTCCTCAGACAAAAGCGATCTTTTGGTGGCAAAGGGAGCATCGACTCCAGAAGCAGCACTGAGCCCATACAAGTCCCTGCTGCCTGTGCTGCCTTTGCTACTTCTGCTGCCTTTGCTACTTCTGCTGCCTGTGCTGTCTCTGCTGCTGTCTCTCGCCTGTCGCCCCCCATCCATGATGGTTCTGCTGCGTGAGCTGGCTCTTCTGAGACGTGGAAAAGGACAGCCTTACGTCGCTCTTCAGCTCCTCACAGCTAGCGCTGACACTTGAACAGTTTCTCTCTGCCTCTTCTTCCTCTTCTCGCAACAACAATGGACTTGAAGGTGTATTTGCCTGTGGAAGTTGTGGGAAAGGACCCTCTTGCCTCGCAGAAGCATGGCTTGGAGTCGTTTCTCCATCACTTGAGTCTTGCCAGCAGCAGGAAGATCGCCTTTTTTGACGAGTTCATTGCTGGCTATGTGGTGCTTGCCAACTCCCACTCTGCTGCTGATAACTCCAACTACTTTGCTGCCATCAGCGAATTGCTGCTATCGCTTGATTTGTATGTCCATCCTTCCTCTGACAACTACAACGAGCCTCTTGACTCAAAAAATAGAAACTACCACATCAAAAACTACCAGTTGGCCTCTGACAGTCTTGTCTACAACGAGTCCATTCTCCAACAAGACCAAAACATTTTCATTGACGATAAAGATCTTGCTCAGAACACAGAGAATGACGACGATGCTGACGATGAAAAGTCCCTATTGATTTCAGTTTGGAAATTCAAATTGCCAATTGCTTATCCCAAGAGAAAGATATCTCTTCCTGAGATCCAAATCTCCATCTCATTGACTTATCAGCCCAATTTGCTATGCAATCCCCATACTCCAAGCATAATTGATAAAGAGAACGACGATACACTAACCAAAACCGACTCAATTGGTGGACCTGACAAGAAGAATCAAACTTTCCAAAAGGCTTTGACTTATAAACCAATACTAGACAATAACATTTTTGATGGTTTGGAATCCCAGATTTTGCACCAATTTGCTTCCAAAAACTTATCTTCAAATTTATCCAACTTGAAAAAACAATTGGAATATAAAACCATAGTTAAAGAATCAAGAATTAGAAAAAATTCACTATCTGAATCATCTAAAGAGATCAAAAAAATCCCACAAACTAAAAATAAAGTCAAAAATACTACTTTGTCAGCTAAAATATTATTGCCTGTTTTTCCTGTTCTCAACATGAAACTCAGATGTACAAAGGCTGCTGGCAAAAATGACAAATTATTAGCCACTTTAGACATCGAAGCCTCCAAAGAATTGAATAAAATAAACACCTCTCTAGACATCTTTGACATAGCTCTTGACTTTCCCAGTGGCTCTATAAACCCCCTATTGCCAGCTTCTTTAAAAACTTTTCCAATTGATTTAAAATCAAATGATGCTATCAATTTCCCTTATGAACTCACAAACTCTTTTATAAATGATAACGACTCAAAAAAACAAATCATCGTCAACATTGTATCAATCCCCAAAAGCAAAAAAAATCATAAATACTTGGCAAATAAAATTATAACTAAATGGTCAACTCTAGTAGATTTTGCAATTATTGCTCCTCCCACTAACAGCACCCTAGTCAAATCTTCAAACATCTCTCAACAAGGCGTAATCAATTACAATTCAAGAATCTTCTCCTTGTCAAATTTACCAAATGCTAATAACAACCTAAAACCTTCCCACCAATCCCAAATTTCTCGTCTAAAATCATTGCGTACCGCCTCTTCTTCTTTAAATATTAATATCCCGAGAAATTCGAAATCAATCTTAAATGGTTTAATACTATCATTCAATGGAACAACAAATACCCATATTGGTGAGGTCTTTAAATGGAAAATTCAAGCAATAAACAAATCCCACAATTTACTCAATCTATCTCTATATATTCAACCAAAGGACTCTGCAAACTTGCTAACTTTAAACCTCAATTCCAATTTACAAAATACTCTCTCAAAGATTAAATTGCAACACCATCATAACATTTACAATAATAATATGATAATCATTCCCCCAAACCAGTTGGTTAAAGCATTTAACCAAACAAAATTATCCCCAAGAGGCATTATTTGTCTAGCTAATGATGTCAAAATTGGTCCTTTAGAGCCATTTCAAGTATTTGAAACCGAAATTCATCTAATAGCAATCGAAAAGGGTATATTTAGCTTGCAGGGTGTTAAAATCTTTGATGTTAATACTGGTGAAAGTTTTGATTGTGGTAGATTACTAGAAGTAGTAGTAGTAGATTAAAATCAATTATAATTTCATAATTTTTTTATTTTTTTTTCACCTAGTATTTATATCATTCAAAATTATGCTTCAGTTATTTAATTTTTAAACATTCATTATAGTTACTGTATATTACTAATATAATAGTTAAGAAGAAAATAAAAAAAAACAAAAAAAAACAAAAAACAAAAAACAGAAAACAGAAAACAAAAAAACAAAACAAAAAACCACAAAAAGCACAACAAAAGAAAAACAAACTAACTCTAAAACTCATGCAAAACAATGAAAAATCTATCTTATTAATTTCATGTCAAAAATTTGTTGGTCAATGGTTATTTTAGGAGAATGCCCAATCTGACTACAACTGATCAACTCTATCTTATTACCTCTTATAATCTGTACAGGGAGCTCTTTACCAAAATTATCCAAACATTCCATAGAACACTTGTATATTTCCAAAATAGTATTGGAAACAATGAATAAGTAATCATTATAAAAAGTTGCAGCTTTACATTTAATATTGAAAAACAATAGTGGATATCTTTGAGCTCTATTTTCTGGATAGCATCCCTTGCCATTATTTTTACAAATTACACAATACTCTTCATAGATTAAAATATTTCTATCGTTCTCAACTGGTAAACAAGTAATGATTTTTTTTTTTGTGCTAGCATATCTTGGAATTGAGAAAAAAGGAACGATTGCTTTGAAATCCAAATCAGTTAATTTAGTTAATTCAAAATCTCTTTCTGAATGAACAATCAAAAATATTGGCAAAATTGTAACTCCAAAAGTCATTCCATTAATCAGTAAAGTATCAAGTGGTTGTGGGCTAAAGTAAGATGGATTACTATTCTTCAGTTGATACATGGCTATTATTTTAGAATTAGTAACGCCACTGCTTATATCAATAATCATGTACAATAAGAATAAATTTCCCTTGATAATTTTTGCTGAAAAATATTGTACATTTTTTGATGGGGCACATCTCTCCAATTTTTTCAATTTAATTATCATATTTCCCTGATTATTTAAAAGCTCTAAAAGAGAGCATTTTAAAAAGTTTCCATCGGAAAGAAATAATAAAGTATCTTTAGAATCAATATATTGCATACTAGTAATATTGGGCATGGAGAATATCATTTTCCAGCTTTTTTCATCTTGAGACGAGTAAATACCCTTTGAAGTTCCAAGTAAAGTGTAGGAGGTGTTTCTAGCTTTAACATAAACATAATCAATGCAATAAATCTTTTCTTGAAACCCACTTTGTGAAATGAAATAGTAAGGGATTTCCTTAAAAGGGTGAAGTTTTTGCCTTGCAGCTAAATACAAATCTCTTTTATTTTTATAAAATAAGCCCAATTTACTGTTAAAATCTGTTATGCAAAAGTGGTATTTTCTGTCATTAGAAGTATTTTTAATATAGAAAGGATCAATATGCAAACTAACTTGATAAGATCTAGGACCATTTTGTTTGTCTTTATTTTGAGAATCATTTAAATCATTTTTCTCTTCAATTTTTTCCAAATACACTTCAGCATAATCTAGTGGGATAGGTTTGTCGATTAGAGTAAATTGGAAATTTTGGATATCGTATTTTGTTATTAAAAAACAATTTTCAAAAAAAAAGATAATGAAAGATTCTATATTGGAAAAAAAGCCTCTATCTTTCTTTTGAACAAAATACATATTGATAAAGACTGTCTTACTTATGTTTATATTTGTCATAGCTTTGAAGGGGCCCCAATTTATTTTATTGATTATTTTTTTCATTTCAAATAAACTCATATATTTATGTAAATGTTCTGAAAAGTTACGGGTGAGTTTAGCAGCTTTTTCGTATTCGGTTGATACCTTTTTGGCATTTACAAAAAGTTTGCGAAACCCCTTGAGTAAATCTGAGATCTGAACGACAGTATATATAGGTTGTTCGATGATTTGAAGCACTGTGTTGTAATCGGGGGTATTTGCCTTCATTTTAATTTTCCAGGAATCGAAATTTTGGCCCAAATAGAAATTTGAATTTGATGAGGCGTATGGGGTATTCTTGACAGCATTGCAAACTTTTTTGAAAAAGCTATAACTGGAAATGATTTCTAGGCATTTTCTCCAAGGATTAACAGATCCTCTTACCCATTCCAGAATAACGTTGAAAATGGTATATTTTTTGATAAAGGGCCCCTCATCAGACATTATTTGCAATAAGGGTTTTAGAAGGTTATTTTCGTGTATGGTCAAGATCTCTTTAAAGGAATCAAAAAGGGAATATCTGAGTTCATTTAAGGGAAGGCCATCGGACAGTTTGACTGAAGTGGACATGTTAATAAAGCTGATTTCAGTGCTCAAATGTATTTTTAAAATGTAAATGAATCTCGCTTGATTTCTTATGAGTTCAAATAGTTTGTTTTGATAATGCATTGTTGAAGGGTCTTTAGTTTTGAAAAAGGATTCCGGGACATTGTAATAGACGTGCATTCCCTTTTTCATTTTGAAATAGATGTCGTCTGAATTTTTCAATTTGATTTTTAGTATTTGACCATTTTCGTCGTATATATGAAAGTCTTTTTGTAAATCATGGGGACAAATCAAAGAATAACAAGTTTCAGTATGGTCGCTATAAATTGAGGAGTAACAAGGAGTGAAATCAGTCAAGACACCAGACATGTCAGGGTTGGGATCCAAGTTGTACATGATATTTTGTTTGGAGGTATCAATGTAGTTTATTATGGCAAAGGCCTCGAATTCTGATGAAATTAGTTCAATTGCTCCATCAATCAAAAACGAGTCGCTGACTTTTTTAGGGTAGTAATAAGAGAATAGACCTTCTAAAGTTTTGGTGAAGTCTGAGGTTTTAATGGCGAATTCATTTTTCAAATTAAGGGTAGCTTGTGCCTGTTTATAGGGAGTAAGAAGATATATGAACCATTTATGTAGGGAGGACAAGAACCAGAATTCCCTGCAGGCTTCAAAGTCATTGATGGTGATTGAATCACTGGAAAAGTGAAGGTTGCTGTTTATGGAGGTGACAGTTTGTTGTGAATCAAAGGATTTTCTTCGAGACAAGGAAGAAACAAAGCTGAAATTTTGAGAACTGGCCAAAGAATCTCTATGGTTGGCCGATGGAACATTGGAATGGTTAGTGGTTTCAATGGGATAAACAACTGGATTGACTAGCGTAGAAGTGGAATTTTTTCTGGCGTGAGAGGCTTGTACGTTTTCAGAGGAGTAAGATAATCTTGAGTGGACATTTCCAATTAAAAAGGGATTAATCACCATGGACTTTGGAGAGTAGGTATGAGGGATCAGAGAACGAGAAGCAGTTGCAAGATGAACAGGAGTTGGAATAGGAACAGTCTTTGGAGCATCACTAGTTGAGTTGATTGAATTGTAGAATGTGTATCCAGTAGCGAAGAAATTGGGGTCGTCGACGCAAATCGGCCTGAAGTTGTCAATAATGTGGACCATTGGAATGCTGGATCTGGAGTTGTTGTTGGCAAACATATCAATATCGAAAGTAACAAACAGTTGGGGTCTGGAGAAAAGTGGTAAAGCCATGGTCTTGCTGGTGCACCATTCGACAAGCTAGCAACAGAACCAGTGGGAGAGTGGGAGAAAGGTCAATAGAAGCCTGAGGTTATACCACAGCCTGAATCAGCTCTGATCTTTCACTGGGCCCTAAACAACAAAAACTGCCGTTTTGAGCACACGCCCACATTTCTGTCACCCAAGTCCGAGCAGCACGTTTGTCCGAGGGCAGACCCGCAGCACCGGTCTCACTTCCGAAGCCACCCGCACGGGACCAATGCAGGCCAAGCCTGTGTCCCAATTAGGAAAGTGTCAAAGGGAGGCCGTAAACAACAGGAGCAGAGCCGTTGAGGTGGTGCAAATGGCATGTTTCGCGAGATGCTGCCACTGCTTCACAGATGCTGAGGGCCCTGCTTCCCACCCACAGCTCGTCCAAGGCCCCAAACATCGCTGTGTAGTCCTCCCTGAAGAGTCCCCATTTCTGGAACACTGACATCGAGAACTTGTCAATGTCCTTGTCTGTCACGTCCCAGAGGTTCACCACCAACATTGCACACCCTCCTACCAAGTAGCTGTATGCTGTGCCATGGGGCTCAAGCTCGCCATTCTCCTTCAAGCTGCCCGAGGAGCACCCCATTAGCAACGAGGGTGAGCATCTTTGCAACTTTCTTATTGTTGACGATCTTATGTATTGCTCTCCGCCGCCATGTCCAATGTAGATGAAGAGACTTGAATCGCTGAGCGCCTGGACAAATTCCTCCTCTGTGGGCTTTCTGTCGATAATGCTGCCCCAGTTTTTAAGATGTGACTTGAATTTTTGCTCAAATGTGGTTTGTGTGTTCTTCAAATCACCACTGGGGTTTAGCACAAAAAACCCAGCTTTCCCTTTTTCTTTGCATTCAATGGAAAGATTGTCTTTATCATACTTTTTCAAGGCTTCCAACAAAATTGTTAGTGATGGCATTCGGGATACTGACTTTCCCTTTAAATTAGGAAGTGACTCCCAAGGAAAATTTTGACAGCTTTTTCCTATCACCAATACAATATGGGTCGCTGCTTCTCTTTCTCTTTCTCTTCTTTCCAGTTTTTCCCTTTTGAGTTTCTCATTTTCATCGTGATATTTTCTCAATGCGTCTTCAACCTCAACGTATATTCGATCCATATCTATTTCGTCATACCCGTCTTCTTCCCCATGATATATCAATATGTCAATTGCAAAATAAATTAAATCCTCTAAATATTCGGTATTCCCAAGCTTAGATGGATGTCCCAACTTGATAAACAATTCCAAAACATTGTCATCAATATCAACCTTTGAATCAATTGTTTCTTTAACCTCGGAATTCACCTTGCCACTCTTAATATTCTTGTTTCTTAACCACTGCCGTCTTGAAGGTAAATAAGTTTGTAAAATCCTATTAAATTGAATTTTAAATTTCCCAAATAATTCTCTATTAATCTCTCCAACATCAAAAATCCCTCTAAATCCACCTAACCAACAATAATCAACATTTTCCAACAACTCTTTCAATTGTTTTTCCAAAAAATATCGTGTCTTCCACCAACTCTTCTTGTCCTCTCTGTTTTTAATGCTCGAGGTAACTTCTACTTTGGTGGTCAAATTACTTGATTCAATTATATTTTCCAATTCTCTTTTGGCATCCTCAAATGAGAAAACCCTCTCATCTGCATCTCTACTAGCATGCCTATTCAAAGGTAACCGAATTATAAGTGGCTCACTGTCATCACACGACGTAATTTTCAGCAACAATAAATCTCCACTAAATTGACAAATATCAATTGAAATTATTATCCACTTTTTAGGTACATACTTTTGGATATCCAAAAAAAGACTACCAAAATCATCAATCTTATTTTCAATACTAGATGACAAGAGATCTGTCAAATTATTCGACATTCTGTCAGGTAGAAACTTATTCTTGACTTCCACAGACTGCGCCAATTTCTTTTCCACCAAAAATCGATGTCCTCTGGAGGATTCCAATAACCATATAAATTGTCTTGTAAGATCTTTTTCTCTTACCTTTGATAATGCTGATATCATCGATAATGAACTTGAAAAAATATCTGGCAACTCGTTGTAGATACCACTAGGACAGTACTTTAATGCATTTAAAAACAACTCGTAAACTAATTTTTTCGACTTCATTAAATATAAAACGGCTTCTTTCAATAATTTTCCCTGTTTAACATTTTTATAATTTGCAAAATTGTTAATGCATGGAACAGAAATAGCTGAATCCTCAAGCAACACCAACATAGGATCCGATGATAATGTTTTTTTCCCAATTATTAGAAATTCTTTAGATTTCGTTATTAATTCTATTATTTTATCCGATTGAAATGGTATTTCGTTTTCTTTTAAAACTAATCCCTTAATTGCTTTATCGCTAAACTTATTAAAATCACTTAATAAGCTCGTAAAACTACTAATCACATTATTGTTAAAATCCATAAATTTTCGATGCTCAATTATTGTCTTGAATTTTTCCAATTCAAGAAACGTATCACCTCCATCTAATATTTTATTACTAAATTTCATTACTTGATCATTTATATTGAAAAACTCACTCTTGAAATCAGCAACCGGTTTCACCTTCCCGATTGTTTTTAATTTATCGAAATATAAATCAAAGTTTTCTTTTTCATCAATGGCCTGAAAATATAAACAATAAATATAATAACGCTCCATCTCAGATGTTCTATCAACATATATCAATCTATTGTATATTTCATTGGCCTCTTTTAAATGTTCCAAAAAGCCTTGATAGTTGTGTGAGTAAATAAAAAATTCCATTATAACAAAATGAATTTTTGAAGTCATCAACGGTATATAATCTCGATCAGATAGTTTTACCAATTCATTGATAAAAAATTCGGCATGTTTAGCTAAACCCAAATGAGAAAGTATTTTGACTAAAAATATAATAGACTTTATCAAAATTATAGTAATTTGAGACAATTCATTGATTGAAAATTTGGAATTTTTAGTTGATAAACCTATATTTTTTGATGCAATCATACAAATCTCCACACTTCTTTTCAAATCCGCAACACTTTCACAATAATTTCCAAATTGATAATTTAAACACCCATTTGTATACGAAACTTTGGCAAAAATCGAAGCAAATTCTGTCTCCAACTGCTCATGTTGACTTAAAATTGTCAAAATTTCCAGAAGCTTTTTATCTCCATCGACTAAATTCCCAGCCATCACCTCATATTGAAATTCAAGTAACTTGTAATCCAATATTAATATCTGATTGTTTTTTGATAAAGTGTTTAAATCATTAGTATCAAGTTTGCTAATAAACTTTGAAATCTTTTCAAAAAATATCATGACATTTTTTTTGAAACCTAAATCAATGAATGTAGTGCAGTTTTTGATCAAAAGTCTTAATTTTAAATAATCATTTTCCAAAAATGCTTCATTTCTGCTACATTGATATTGGTTTATAACTAAAATCATGTATTCACGTAATTGCTGATAATTTAAGAAAGAAAGTAAAAGAAGGAGATTCTCAACTTCAAAATTCACCATTTCATTGTCTTTAGCACCAGTATTCATGACACCTGAATTGTTTAACCAAGAAAAAAATATTTCAATGACCTCTAAAATTAAGTCTGGATTGTTTAACTGTTTGTTGAACTTTAACAAAGTTTGAAGCTTTAAAGAAAACAAAACTAGAAATTCATAATTTTGAAATAAGCTTTCAGGATACTTTAGTTTTAGTTTGAGATAGTCGTCGCTTTCTTCAATCAAATTGATTTCATCAATTAAACTAGTAGAATCAACTTCAAGATATTTAATGTAACAATAATAATATAAAAAAGGATCTTCAGTAATTGTGAGAGAATTAAACAACATATTGATTATAGATAGTTTTGTGTGAGGAGATAGAGTAACAATCATATCAACTAAAATTAAAAAAATCTTTGATTTAAGCTGAGGAGCTGTAATTAAATCAAATAAAGCTTTGAATAACATGGATTTTTGATGGGTAATCAACAATTTAATAAGTAATAAAAAAATTGTAGAGTTTTCAGTTTTTAATGTTTTTTTATTCTCCAAGTAATTAGAAACAGATGATTTATTTTCTTTCTTAGTATCAAAAACGTTAAAATATTGTGTTATGACAAAAAGTGATTCCTTATAAAAATTTAATTCCATAAGAGTTTTGGATGCCTTTTCTGTTTTTTGTTTAAAAATTAATAAATCTTCTTTATTAAAATCTTTTTTGGTCAAATTTAATAAAATTTCTTTTTCAATCTTAACAGAATTCAATAAAAAGCTTTTCATAGCTGTTAAAGAAAACTTTTGCATTTTTTGGCTAAAATAGAAATATAAATTTGAAATATTTCTTAACCTTTTTTGCTGATCAGAATTTTTAAAAATATTAAACAAGTTATCCAAGGTGAGCTCAAAAAAATCAATTGAAATAGTATCTAAATTGCAGCTTTTAATAAACATTGTCAATGGATCTAAAATGATTAAAAATATTTTAGGCAAGATTAAAGGATTTTCTTTTGTTTTCTTTTTAATTTTGTTTTTCTCAATTAGTAAAATTTGTATAATAAATTCTATAATTTTATTATTTTCATTTGTTACGGGGAGCTTTATTGCTAATTTTGAAAGATCAACTACATAGTCTAAAAAAGGAATGCATTGTTCATTTTTTTGAGAATATGTGTGGATTTGGTGTTCAAAATCAAGTAAAAACTTTTGGGGTATACTTTTGGAAGATTGAATAATACTTATTAGATCAATTAGATATACATTTATTGTTTGAGTCTTCATAGATTTTTTCAAGTCCGATTGAAAAATTTCCCAAGAAATATTGCAATTCAATTTACTGTGGTTTGAGGTTTTAATTTTGATTATATCGAATAATATCGAATAGATGATTGATAAGTCAAGATTCAAATTATTAGTTTGAAAATTATATCTTGAGAAAAAACTGTTAAAATAAGGCGATAAGTATTGATAAGATAATATTTGAGATTTTCCAAATGCATTTTTGATAATATTGAATGTTAAATTTAATAAAGGATTTGCAGTTTCAAGAATATTATCATCTTTCATATTGCTTTTTTTGTTATTATTATCATTGGAAGAGTTTCTATGATTGGAGGCATTTATATTAAAGTACTCCAAGTTATTAAAATTTTCAGTTTGACATTTAAAATACAAATCAAGCAAGAGAAGGAAGGACAAAGCCAAGGAGATCTTGGATAAGGTTGAAACATTAGATAGTTTTATCAAATTGTATAATAATTTCAAAAAATTTGTAAAAGTTTTCCTACTATTCGAAGGATTTTTTAATTTAAAAATGTTTGAAACAAGATTTGAATTTTCAATATTAAGATATGTTTTCAATAAATCTTGAGATGAAATGATTTTGATATTTTTAAAGTAATATTTATAAATTATCTGAAAATGAATTAATTGCAATGACAAAACTAAATTCACCAAATTTGAAGAAATTGAATCTTTCAGATTTGCATGGTTCCTCAAATCCAAATCCAAATTAGAATTAAAATTAAAATTAAATGACAATAGTAATTGATGAGAAAAATGATATAGTTTTTTATTATCATTGGTAGAAAGCTGATGGTATTGAGTTATATGAGTAAATAATGAGAGTAATTCACTGGAGGATAAGTCAAGCTCATCAATTTCAATCAATGTTAAAATAAAATTTCGATGATGTTGGTAAATTTCCAAAGTGGAATTAGGTTTTGAATCATTGCTTGAAAAAAAAAAGTACAAAAACTCAAAAGAACAGGAAACTAAACCAGCCAAATGCTCGTCTTCTTTAATATCATTTGAACCGATACTTCTAATTAATTTGAAAGACGTCTCTTTTAAATTGGAGATTATAACTGAAGTGGGATTAGAAAACGAGTTTTTTGGTATCTTGAGGAAGCTGTGTTTTTGAGAGGATTTTGAACTCTGAGCTAGCGACTGAAATCTATTTTGGAAACTTAATAATTTTGACTTATCAACTGCAATCTTGACTTTTGACATTCCTTAATCGAACCAGCAAGCAATTGAACAGTTCATCGATCTGATGGTTGGCAATTGTTTGATACTGGAGATTTGTTTGAAATTGAAGTTTTCCACTGGGAAAAAAGTAAACATCTACAGCGAGCCCTAAAAAGGGATTTAGGGCTCTGGGGCTATCTCAAAGAGAATATAATCAGTATTATTTATTTGGATGGGTCATGTTTAGAAATCAATATACATAAGGAATGATTTTGTAGGGGACTTTGGAAGTGTACAATCTCCAGGTTTCACCATACTTGGCTTCACACTTTGCCGAATCTCTCACTTGTCTGTGCAATAGCAAAGTAGCAAAGTAAATAACATAGTAGTATGTTAGTGGAGTGTTGAAACCAGTTGGAAGACACCAAGACCAGGCTATTAACCAATCACCGAAATAGTTGATGTGTTGGCTCAAAGCCCACCAGCCATCGCATAGTAATTTAGAACCAGTTTTTGTTTGAATAAATTTGTAGTGCTTGTCGTCCAAAAGACCATTTCGAAAATCAGATTTTTGTTTGTTTGAAGAATGAAAGATATAGTATCCAGCAAAAAACAAAGCGAGAATGAAGACAATGTTCACTGGGCCTAGATTGACTTCATTTAGTACTAGGTAACGCGATTGCAAAGAGTATGTGAAGGGAACTAAACTTAAACTTCCAAAAATCAACATAAAACCGAATCCATCTGTTGTTATATCCATCATTGAGAGAACTCCTTCTTCATTTAGGACACCATCAAACGCATAAAATCCTTCAAGAACATTGATCAAGACTAACGAATTGCAAACATAACCCTTGGATAAGTATTGGTGGTGCAAACAAGATAGATTGATCAACAACCATAATAGTAAGCCCGGTCTTAATTCGACAAATAACTTGATATCAAAGGAACCAAATCTGGGATTTAATTCCCTGCCGATAAACCAATCGTAGAACCAATTACCAGTATTTCCGTTAATACTTAGTATTCTTTCTTTGGTGTTAAATCCGTTTTTTTTTACCAAAGGTATAAAAGAGTTTAAATAAATAAAAGTGGATAGTATAAATGAAAAAATTATTGAGACAATAATGAAACTTAGGTGGTTGTTGTAAAGGAATTGAAGTTCAGGTAATAAACCGTTGGTGATTTTATATCTAATTCCGACAACTACAACAAAAAGAGAAGTAAAAAGTAACCCATTAATGTTATAGTCGAGTTTTGTACCATCTCTCAATTTAATTCCCTTTAGTTTTTTTCCAGGCAATCCAACATCGAATACAGCCAAAATTGAAAACCATGATAAATATGCCAACCAAACATTCTTATCCAAGCTCAATTGTTTCCAGCCAATATTATAAATCTGACTTTTAACCAAATCAATCTTTAGATTAATTCCTTGAATTAGATACTCTCTGCTGACTAGTAGTTGGAAGCCTATCATAACAATAGGCAAACCAAAAGTAATTAGAAATACTCCAATAGTCCCAGAAAATTCATAATGGTTTGTAACAGGATTAAGAATTTTGCCCGACATTTTGGTTTTATCAACAATGCTTTGGTATAATCAGTAGCTCATCACTGAAAATAAGAAAAAGTCGAGCATTTAAAGCAATCTCACTTAAATCTTAAAAGATCGTATTCTTCGTAGAGTCTCTTAAACTCGTATCGAACAAAACCCTCATTGGCTTCTGCAAGTTCGCTCAATTTTATGCTAAATGCGCATACTGCGCAGGTTGTTGCGTATAGAGTTTTTAATCCGCGTGATTTAACACGTGTTTTAGAGGTTTTTCAAAACATCTTTTTTTCTCTCCAATAATCATATCGAAAATGACGAGATCGAAGAAGCAAGGCATTGGTAGAAGTGGTGACCAGACAAAATGGTAAAGGCTTCTATTCCAGCTCAAGTTAGACAGGCGCTTAATCGTTCTGTTTGGTTTGATTTTAGTGCTCAAAGATCTCAAAATTTGGGCATTACATCTCAAGCACTCAGGCAGCAAATATTATATGGTGTGCCAGAAAAAATAGGTCCTTTGAGTTTGAGGAGAAGGTGTAATAGAATAAAATACTCTTCACCCATTGGTTTAGATGATGTCTTTCCATTAGCTTACAATTATTTGCAAGAAGAAGCTGCAAAATGCTACGAGAAAGCTGAATCAACCAAAAATAAAGAAATTAGAGACAAGTTACTAATTGACGCTGAAAAGAATAATCCTGAAGTGTTGTATAAATCTCTTTATACTAATCTGGATAAATTTGATTATGATATTCCAGTTTTTAGACACTATTCAAAACAAAAGTGGTTTGAACATGATGGAATGATATTAATGCAAAGATTGGAGACGCTACATGTCATTCCTGATACTTTAAAGACATTGGATCCTAAATGTGAAGTTCATTTAAGATTTTTTAATGAAACAGGTATAAATAAAAAAATTGAACCTGGAGAAATTCTATCATCTCATGTTACTTATAAGCAGCCTACATTAAATGTGATAAATTTTGAAAGTATTCCAGAAAATTCGTTATATTCTGTTTTAATCGTTAATCCTGACGTGCCAGATTTAGAGTATAATACATACAAGACCTCGTTAAATTGGTGTTTAGTTAATATTCCATTGTCTAATAACGATAACATAATAGATTACAAGAAAATCAATGAAGAAACCGAGATGATTGATTATTTGCCTGCAACACCAGAAAAGAATATTCCATTGAGCAGATTATGCGTATGGGTTTTCAAACAAAATGAAAATAAAAAATTGGATACGGAAAGTGTTAAGCTGATGATAACAAGAGATGAGTTTGATATTAGGGAATTTGTTGAATCAAATGGATTGACTGCCGTAGGTGCTCATGTTTGGAGAAGCAAATGGGATAGAAATGTTCCAAATGTTAGAAAAATTTATAACTTACCAAAAGGAAATGTATTCCATAGAGTCCGCAAATGATTTTAAAATCTAGATTGATTAAAGAGTTTATAAATAGTGTATATAGTTAATTTTAATTATTACAATTTCAAAAACAAATAAAATTTTCTCAATATGAAGAAGAAAAAAAGCATTGATATTATTAAATATGTATAAAATAAACTGGGTTTGATAATAAAAATGATAAGTAATATCTAAAGAAGTAATTTAGACTGATAAAAAGATCTGGGTAGTTTGGTGAAAAATCACATGTGGTTCTCGTGACCTATCATTGAAAATTGGTTGAGAGTTAAAAAAAAGCACTCTTATTCAGTATTCTCGATTACACATTATGTAATTATATATAATGTATAATTATATATAATGTATTGTAATTCTGTTTATGTTATTATGGTATTATTATGGTATTATTATGGTATTATTGCTTATTATTAATTGACTATCTGATTGCCCAATTATGCCTATTGTATTTCCAATCCCATCTGTGTCCACATAAATGTACGGGTGTTGCACGTGATGAACAACAGATATTGTGTGCAGTGCTTATCCGATCCTGACACATCACGCACGGTGTGTTCCACTGTCTGTGGTGTATCACGGCCACATCTGGTCATCGACGCTTGCTGCAGCATGCATTGCGACTCGATTAGGGATGTATTATTGATGTATTATTAATGCTTCCATTTCCATTCTTAATAATATATTACTGATCCATTCATTGCGATAGTATTGTGATAGTATTGCAATTGTATTCTAACTGACAGAGACTAGTGCATTGAAATCATATATAAGGCGGCCAAATTCGATCGAAGATTTCAAGTGGATATTTTGAAATTATCGCATTTAACTATTTATTGATTAAAGCAATCAATCAATCAATCAATCAATTGAAGCAATCAATCAATTGAAGCAATCAATCAATACAGTCAATTCTTATTCGGTCAATTCTTATTCGGTCAATTCTTATTCAGTCAACTCTTATTCAGTCAACTCTTATTCAGTCAACTCTTATTCAGTTCAATATACACTCAATTAACAACAATATGAACCCAAGATCAATTTTGAAATACTTTTTGGCAATGGAACAAGCCGAAGGTGCTGGAGCCAGGGTTCGTCGGTCCATTGGAACAATGCAGATGAGAAACTTCACACCCTTTTTGATGTTGGACCACTTCAACACTGCTGCTCCCAACGGCTTTCCCACACACCCTCATCGTGGCCAGGAGACCATTTCGTACATCATGGGAGGAGCCATGGCCCACGCAGATTTCACAGGCTCGTCGGGAGTGTTGTATGCTGGCGATTTGCAGTTCATGACGGCTGGTAGAGGAGTTGTGCACAGCGAGATTCCTGTTGAGATGGACGACAAGAGCCCTTGTGTGGGCATGCAATTGTGGGTGGACTTGCCGGCAAACATGAAGGGGTGCGAGCCTCGATACAGAGACTTGAAGAAAGAAGAGATCCCCATTGCCAGGCCTAGCGATTTGGTGGAGGTGAAGGTGATCAGTGGCGAGTCGTATGGTGTGCAGTCTGTGCAAGAGTTGGCCTACACTCCAGTGGTTTACTACCACTACACAGTGAAGCCTGGTGGACACTTTGAGCAGGCCATTCCCAGCGACTTCAATGTGTTCATGTATGTGTTGGGAGGATCGTTGGTGGTGGATGGTGTGAAGATCCCCCAGTACAACAGTGTGTTCTTTGAGCGAGATGGCGATGGTGTTGCTGGGCGAGTAGGCAAAGACGCAAAGGAGAGCGCTGAGTTTGTGCTTGTTGGAGGGAAGGTGCTTGAGCAGGAAATTGTGCAGCATGGGCCCTTTGTGGCCACCAGCAGAGAAGGCATCCAGAAGGCCTTTGTGGACTACCAGTTCGCCATCAATGGCTTTGAGCGAGCCCCCAACTGGTCCAGCAAGTACGACAGGGGAGTGAAGGAGCACGATCTTCCAGGTTATCAGGGTAAGAAACCTGTTGTTTCCAAGGATGAGCT